TTTAGGCTCGTTCCCCCCCCTCCTCCCCGACGTCCGCGTGCCGTTTGTCCGCAGGCGCCGCTGGAGTGGATCCCGGCCTTCGAAGGCTCGGGGGAGCACTTCAATGAGCTGCGGAAGGCGTGGCGGCGCCTGTGCCTGCGGTGCCACCCCGACAAGCAGCCGGAAGGCGGGGGGAGTGGGCGTGTAGTGGGGGTGGGTAGGGGGGGGTTGGTGCGGGAGGCGGTTGAAGGGGTTGGGAGGGTGGGTGGCAGAGTGGGGTTGAGCCGGCTGTTCTTGGTTTGACTCCTGGAATGTGAAGGGCCAAGGCGTTGTCTGCGGCATGTGGGCAAACTTCGCGGAAGTCCTGACTTGAGGTTTGCGGACTATGGTACCTTGCCCAGATGGATTGTGTCACAGATTGGTTGGCGCATAGGATTCGTGTCGCACTTTGCCCAGATGAAAAGCTGTGTAACATTGGCTTTGCTTTGGGTGAACTGTTTACCCAGACCATGGTAGCTTGGATTGGCAGTTGGGGAAAGCTTCTTGTTCCTCACCGGGCGGTATCAGCTATGGGGCCCCCGCGCGGCCCCACGAAGGGTTCCCACAGGTTCCTCTGGTTCCTCTCAGGTGGGGCTACATGGCATGGTGGACGCCCCAAGAGGATGGTCTTCCAAAACCCGCTCATCCACTGGAAAGGTAGAACCAGAGGTCGTCATGGAAACAGGAGCTTCACCAATTGTTTTCTTCAGATCCGATGGGAGGCCTGGAGGACGAGGCTGCGGCGGAGTGGACGGCGCAGTGGGGGCCCAGATTGGGCAGCGGGGCGATGGGCTTCAATATTTGAATCGAGCAATGGTATTTATGACCTAAAGGTTTGAGTGGGGCTCCTATTTTTCAACCCTCCGCCTTGTTTTTTTTTTCACTACCGACCTCGTTGTTCAAGCCTGCTTGTTTCACTCCCGATTTTATCACCCTCTGCCCGGGTTAAGCCATCCCTACGCCAACCGTAAGCCAACCAAACACCCACCCGAAGCCAGCTAAACCCTCCCTAAACCCACCCTAACCCCACCCTAAACCTACCCTAAAACCCACCCAAAACCCACCCCAAACCCACCACCCCCGAAACCATGCATCAGCCACCTCGTACCAACCATAAACCCACCCTAAACATGGGCCCTAAACCAACCCGTAGCCAACTATAAAAAACCAACCTGAGCCAACCCTGAACCCACCCTAGCTTAACCCAGCCCTAAACCCACCGGAAGCCAACCCTAAGTAAACCAATCCTAATCCCACCCTAAACAACCCTCAACAAGCTCAACTCACATTAAACAAATCCTAAACAATCCCAAAATATACCCTTATCCAGGCCAAACCCACCCTAAGCCAAGCCGCCCTAAATCACCCCGACACCACAGACCTACTCGAAATCACCCTGAGCCATCCATAAACCCACCCGCAACCACCCTAAACCAACACTAAGCCAATCCTAAGCCCATCCTAAACCCACTAAACCAACCCTAAACCAACCCTAAACCAACCCTAAACCAACCCTAAACCCACCCCACACCTTGTGCCGACCCCGACACCAAACCCACCTAAACCCTTCCTACACAAACCAACTTTAATCCAACCCTAAGCCGAACCTAAACCAACACAGAACCAACAGCGAACTCACCGGCCTCAAAACCAACCCTCAACCCTAAACCGACGGCTTTTGAGCGCTTCTGTGGCTTGTGGAACCACTCCTGGAGCCACCACCCCTGAAACCAACCTCAAACCAGGCCCACCAAAAAACAAGCCTAAACAACCTTACCCAAAACCCTAAACCCGCCCTAACACAACACTAACCCGCTAAATCCTAAGCCAACCCTTTTAAGCACATATGTGAAGAGACAAACGTGCGTGCGAGCACCACAGCGAGGAGTCGCTGATGACGAAGTCTATCTCATCCCCCTACGTAAAACAACAAAAACGAACTAGACGATGGGCGAGTTCTGTATGCGTTCCTTTTCACTTTCTCCGCTCAGGGTTTGTGCCGCAGCACCTGCGCCAGCGGCCGAAACTGCATGTTCCTAGCGCCCGGAGCCCGCACCGTCCAACAGCACCTGTGCCAGCGCCCCAAAACAGCACCTGCGCCAGCCCCCACGACTGCCCTATAGTTTTTAGCTTTCAGCTGTCTCAAAAACATGGACTTTTTACAAGCCTCAATCCTACCTTTCCAACCCAAACCCACTCTTAAGCAAATCTAAGTCAATTCTATGCGCAGCCTGACAAACGCTCGCCAAACCCTAGCCCAACCAAAAACCCACCCTTTCCACCCAATCTTCATCGACGTTGTGCGGCCCTCGGCCACAGTGAAACCTAACAGCAAGACGCACAAGCTAGCGAGCGCTAGCGAGATCCGCTAGCCAGTACGTACACTAGCAAGATAGCGCTAGGAAGATGCACTAGCCAGTAGCGCTAGCAAGATAGCAATAGCAAATGTTGCACCAGCCAGTGGCGTTAGCGAGTTGTGGTAGCGAGTTGCACTAGCAAGTTGCGCTAGGAACTTGCGCTGGCAAGTTACATAGCTGGTTGTTTTAGCAAGCTACACCAGCAAGTTGCACAAGAGTGGCGCGAGGGGTTGTCAGTGTCTTACGCCAGGTAAATATCTTTGTGACTGCGCGTGAATTCAGCAATTCTAGTGTACTCTTTGAAGGCGGACTTGGCGATCGACAAGTTGACCCTTTGCCGCGATCGGCAAAGTCAATGCTGAAGACTTTCTGCGATTTCTGCGGTTCGTGCGCGACGGTGTGGCCGATGTCAAAAATACCTGATTGTTTTTTCATTTTTTTTCTCAACGACAGCGCGACCCTCTGCGAGGACCCTTTCGACATTTTAACATGCGTGCGCGACCTCCAAACTGAGGACTTTGTCCACTTTTTCCGTTTCGCGCGTGAGGGCTTTTCCTACTTCTAAGTGCTACTTTTGCGGCGCGTGCGAAACCTTCTGCGGAGATTCTGTGCATCGACCGCGAAGTGCGGGTAAAACGCTACAGAGCGCACTAAGCAGCCCATCACCCAGAAGGCAAAAGCCACAGCAAAGGAAGCTCCAGGCAAAAGCCGCAGCAAAACCCGGGAAGGCAGCAGCAGAGCCCGAGCAGCAGCCCACCCAGGCAAAAGCCCACCCAGAAGCCAAAAGCCGCGGTCTCGCCGTCGGCTGCGGCCACAGCGTTGACAAAGATGTTAGAGAGATTAAGGGGAGGGTGTGTTGAACATCAGTGAAGGGTTGAAAAAAGGAAGGGTTGTTGAATTGGCGGGGCTTTGGAATCTGGCTGTTTGGCTGGAGCCTTGGGGTCAGCTTCTGACGCGGGAAGGCTTTCCACGATATGGAGGGATCCCTCAAGACTTGAGTTCGCAGCGTTGGTTCTCGGCCGTTTTATGACACGTGCGGCTTTGAGTCGACTCGTGTCTTCCTGTTTTAGCTGGGCTAGAGGAGGGCTGGCTTGTGAACTGCATAGGTTGTAACAGCCTGGCTGGCTGTCTTCACGGGATGAAAGGCGCTGGGGGCCTTTGTTTTATCAGCTCTTAATTTGGGTAAGACCATGGGTTGGCACCCCAGCAGTTGTAAGGGAATGCTTTGGGGCACGAGCTACGTCCCCGCCCCGGCCAGTGTCGGTGCAATTCTGCCTATTGCCAACGGTTAGCATTGGGTCCAATAAATTATCTTTCCAAGCCACCCCAAACTGGCAAAACGGAAAAACAGAACGATGGCACCGAATGGTGGGGTTTCAGGTCCTAACCTCAAGCCAAAGAAGCCAAATGGCCTTTCCAACTCATTCCCATCAAGTCGAAACACGCAAGAAAATGCTGGGGTTCCTTTCGGTACCCATTCAATTTTCATTCAGACACCGACCCCAACAGGGTATCCAGCCGCAAAAACAAACCCTTATAGGAAACCAACCATATGCCTTTTGGCTTTTAAATTATAGTTCCGTTGGTTGCACGGGCGCCTGATCTTTCAACTTTTTGGGTAACATGGGCTATATGTCTGTAAAAGATTAACTTCCCCAGGGCTTGGAGTTTTAAGGGGTAAGTTTCCTTCTGCACCCCAGAAGCCGTTCTGAGTCGATCACTCCCATGGACAAGCAGCGACAGAAGTTAATGGCTCGGAATCCGGAAAAAAAGCCGCGGCGCCGCGTGCTGGCAGATGGATCCACGGCTCAGGTTCCAGGCCGCGATGGCCGCCTTCGAGGTGGTTGACCGCCACTTCCGCGCCGTCGCCGGCGACGCGGAGGGCGCGTGAGGCGCAGTGCTTGGTTTTCCCGCAAATCTAGGAGAATCCTGTGAAAAGAGACGTAAGCCGCAACTTTTTGAGTGGAGTTCCCACTTGTTTTGGAAGGTGAACGCTCCGAAGTGTACAAACAACACCGTTTTCAAGCAGAGCGTCAGATGGGTGTGGGCCAAAAGGGATGTCCCTGAGGCCCGCCGCGTGGCTCGACGTGCCGGTGGTTTGGAAGAGAAAAGGTCGAGGCAGATCCCTTGCAACCCATGCCACAAGCAAAACAAATTTTGCAAACTTTAAGCTTTGTGTTGATCATTTGGAGTGGCGGGGGGGGGGGGGATCAGCTACTTTTGGAGGATTTGGGAGGTATGGCCCGATGAGTGTAGTTCTCTTCAGAACATGCTAGGAAACGGTTCCGCCTGGTATGATGGAGATTGAAGAGAGTCACGCAAACCCTTCACCGTTCGGGACCCCGACCTGACACTCCCAAAAACGGGATATGGGGTGAGGCGGTTGGGTGTCATCAGCAAAGGGCTCGGGAAGCTGACGTCGCCCACCTTTTCTCTTGGCTCAAGGCGGAGGTTCTGCGAATCTCCGGCTCGGGAGGCGGTGCAAATGGCTGGCAGACTTTCTGGACGACTTTCTGGACTCACTTCGGGCGATGTGTTGCCATGTCACGCCTCCAAGATGAGTTCATATACCCGACCCGAAGTTCAAGAGCAGGATGGTTGAACCATTTTTTCGACGTGTTCTTTGCTCGTGTTTGTTGCCGCCTCCCCAAAGGAATTCAACATGTGCTCAGCATTGAGCCCAATGGAGCTGCCACAGGAGCGGCGCGGGGAGCGGGGAGCGGTTCACCGGTTCAGTGTTGTTTTTAGGGACACTCGCCTTTAGGTCGGTTATCAACAAGGGTCCCCATCGATTTAACCGCCACCTTTGGGACAGAGTTGGATCTCGGGTGGGACGCCGCGGCTGGGGGAAGCCGAGCCGCGAAAACCCCACGCGCCATTCTGTCCTAAGGGAGGGTGTGTGTGTGTGATCCTGATTGGACGCGACCCCAGGAACTCGAGAAATCACGGCCCTTTCGCCCACATCGAGGCATCTCACCGCCGTGGTTTTCTGGCCCTTTCTGGCTAGGAGCCTGACGCTGATGCCGCGCCGGCCCGGGGATCTCGGGGAATGTGCGCAGATGGTGACTGGGAATCGGATGTTGCCAAAGGAGCAAGCCTCTCTTCTTTATTGCGTTCCTTTCAAACACCATTAAAAATTTGATCCTGGGAATCTGTCAAAGCTAGTGACGACCCATCGAATTGGTTGGATGTGAGGCTGCCTTTTGCAAGTCTAGTTTAGACACGGTGAACTTGCCACGACCAGGGCTCCTCGGCTTGGGCTAACACCTTGAAGCATGACTCGGCTGGGTGGCAGACCTTTGGAGCCAAGCAGATCGTCTTCTTGGCAGTTGAATGGAACGCGGCGGCTTCGATGTGAGGCTCTGAGCCTGAGTGATCTGGATGAGGCGCGCGGAAAGGGGTTGGGCCGCTGCTTTTTTTTTGGGGGGGGGAGGGGGGTGGTTGGGTGCTTTGGTCCCATTGGCAGAAGCCCCAAAAACTAGAGGTGGCGGGCAGGATGCTTGCAGAACACGACAGAAGCATGATTGAAGGGGCATGATCATGTTGGTCTTGAGAAGCATGCGTGGGTAGGCACCAACGATGGTCAGCCAAGTTGGCCAGCAGCCCATCTCTTACTGGTGATGATCTCAGCGCTGCTGTTCTTGATGTCCCAGGGTCATTCATTTCTAAAAGAAGAAAGCATGCCACCAATTCATGAGTTCCTGGTCCTCAAGTGAGGGGCCGCAAAGCAGAGCGGTCTCTTGATTGTAGTTTCGCCGGCTGTGAGAGGTCTTTCTCTGATCGGCTTGAACACCCGAGTTTCCTGAGATTTATATTTTTGCCTGCTGTGAGGGCACAAGTCCAGAACGTTTTTGGGGTCACTGGCAACTACGACCAGTTGGGGAAGTTCAGGGATGGCTCCTGATGCTTGTAGCCAGTGAGACGAACATGACTAAATCGGCCCGGCCTGGAGATTGGTGGAGACCAGCACGTCAGAAACATGTTGACACACACACACACTGCCCATGCAAATCCAATGCACTACACACTACATATACAGAATGCATTGTGCATATGTTTTGCACACATCTTATGCTGTATATGTATTATCTCTCTATCGACGTGTAGTGTCTCCCGGCAGGTGCTCGTTGAGGATGAGCCTTCGGAGGAGCCGGGGAGGGCCAAACGCGACGTCCAGCAGATGTGTCGAAGGGGCGGGCGTTTTCTGCGCAGAAAACATGGGGTCCCCTCCAAACCGATATATTATGTTGGGCAAGCGAAGTATGAAACAGAATCTGAACCTTTTAGCCTGGGTAACGGGTTTGGATGTGGCGAATCAGTGGATTATTCACCCCTGTGGAACATTAACATATTGCTTAAAAAGGACCAGCAGGCGAAAAAGCGAGCCGTATGAAATGTACCAGCAGCGGATCCAAAAACCGTTTTCTATTTCTTATTTTCTGTGTACAAAACGGTGGCCATCAATGGCCTGGACTTGGATTCTGGTCCTTGAGCTTTGTGAAAGCGGGAGTTCCGCGCCTCCAAACCAGCGAGGTGTCAAGGGAAACTGAGATCAGGGAAGAGAGGGATGTGTCCTTCCGTGAGACCAGGGAAACCCCCTCTTTGATAAAGAATGTGTCATTGGGAATGTTCATTAGCATCACAGAAGTGGGCATTTAACACAACCCTGCTGCGGATTATCAGGGCGGAACTCGCGAATGAAAGGTTTGGTCTCCTTGAGTCTCCTTGTGTATCCCCAGTCGGAGATGTGATTTTCCCATCTTCTCGTGAGGATTGTCTATATCACACCCTCCTTGTCAAAATCACAACCCCGCGGGGATGTAGGGATATGGAACAGTTCCGGAAAAGAGGAGTCTCCCGCTGTATGTTTTTGACAAGAACACATTGTCTCCCAAAAAACCGACCTGGTTCCCCATTCGTCACAGGACTAAAAGGGATCTTCCCTCCAAAAAAGGACCTGGTTCCCCTTTTTCCAGCGGATCTTCTCTTCAGAAGGACATGGCTCCTCCCACAGGGCCAAAAGCGGAGTGCCCCCCCGGCCAGGAGATCTTTGGCCAGCTCGCGGCCTGGGCGGCGGCGGAGCATGGCGGGGAGGCAAGCGATGGATTTCTGTTCGAGGTGGGGACCCAGTCCCTTTGAAAGGAATCATGGTCCAGACCGGGACCAACGCCCCGAAACCTCAAACGGTGGGTTCCATGTAATGGAAGTGAACCCCCCCATTTTTGGGTGTGGCTTTTCTTTTGGGGGTTTGTTTGGAGCCGTCCAAGGAGAATACTCCCAAAAAGACCCAATCTGGTTGTGGAGGACTCTAACACCAACAACCAACAATGAAGTCAAAATTGGAAGACGCCAATGTGTGTAGTTATATTGTCCCTTGCATCATTGTTTTGAAGGAAAACTCAAAGAACCAATCCCCACTCTTGCAGTGCTCGCTGGCTAGATTTTTTTCCCGCATGGGGATCTCTTGTTTTTGGTAAGCAGCCAGCTTCTTTGCCAGCTTCTTTGCCCAGTCCTGAGTCAGCCCCTCCGCAGTCAGGTCTTGGATCAAGCGGGCCAACAAACCCTTTCAAGGATAGTTCCACAGAAGTTGATGGGTAGCCGGTATATAACAGCACATGCAGGGTCCCTGGTTTGTCGATATCACTTTGCTTTGGGTGACGAGATTGGATGGCCTTTGCTGGCCGGGTGTTCCTTGTTCTTGTTGACCTGTGTGCCTGTTTGAATCTAAGTGTCGGGCAGCTTTTTTTTAAAATGGGGTATATGTGCCTGGTCGGGAAGCATTCGCTGTCCATTCTTCAGTTGGCAGACATGTGTCGGCTCAGAGACTCCGTGTAAATGTGCAGCCAGCTGATTTGCATGTCTCTCAGCACTGATTCTGTTTGCATAGTCTGCAAAGCAAGTCTTTTTTCACCTGGAGACAGTTTTCAATTTTCCCCCAGTCATGGTCGCAGCAGCAGCAGCAGCAGCTGTCCGTGGCACGAAGAGTGGGGAGAAAGGCCATGACAGATTTCATTTGGAGGATGCAGATGCGAAGGACGAGCCCCGCGACGGACCGGACACGGAGCCGGATCTGGTGAAGCCGATCAAGACCGCCGAGTTTGGCTCGGAGACCCCGAAGTCCATGAAGTCGCAGTCGTCCGCCAAGAAGAAATCCAACTCCAAGGCCCCTGCAAGGGGCTTCTGGAAGTTCCAGCCCCAGGCGGAGAAGCTGTACACCAACATGAAGGTGCAGTTCTTCGTGGCGGCGCTCATCGCCGGGAACTTTGTGTGCAACATTGTGGAGAAGTGGATCGACCCCAAGGGAACAGAGTATCCTGATGTCTTCTACGGCATGGAGACGTTCTTCAACGTCATCTTCGCCGTGGAGCTCTGTGTGAACATGTATGCCTTCTGGTTTTGCCGCTTCTGGCGGTCTGGTTGGAACATCTTTGATTTCATAGTGGTTGCCATCGGCATCCTGTCAGTTGCCAAGGTAGAGCTGCCCGGGCCGCTGGGGATGCTCCGCATGATGCGGGCCTTCCGCGTTTTCCGACTCTTCAAGAGAGTCAAATCGCTGAACAAGATCATGGTCTCACTCGCCAAGGCAGAGGGAGGCGAAACACCAGTTGAACACATAGTCACTTTTAACACCTACTCAGTTTTTTTTCCCCAACAGCTGAAAGCTTTGGGGTCTCAGCCCAGATAGGCTCCGGGGTGGTTCGGGGCGACCCTGAGCTAAGGTTCCACCAGGGTTCCACCAGGGGTTCCACCAGGGGTTCCACCAGGGTTCCACCAGGGTTCCACCAGGGTTCCACCAGGGTTCCACCAGGGTTCCACCAGGTTCTGCAAGGGCGGGGTGGTCTGGGGTGGTTTGAGGTAAGGTTCCACGAGGGTTCCACCAGGGTTCCACCAATTTCTTCGAGGGCTGCGGGTTTGAGGAAGGTTTCACGAGGGTTCCGCCAGGGTTCCACCGGCTGCGGGGTGGTCTGGGTGGTTTGAGGAAAGGTTCCACGAAAATTCCACCAGGGCTGCAGGGTGGTCCGGGGTGGTTTGAGGTAAGGTACCACGAGGGTTCCACCAGGGTTCCAGCAATTTCTTCGAGGGCTGGGGTGGTCTGGTTTGAGGAAGGTTTCACGCGGGTTCTGCCAGGGTTTCACCAGGTTCTGCGAGGGCTGCAGGGTGGTCCGAGGTGGTTTGAGGTAAGGTTCCACGAGGGTTCCACCAGGTTTCTCCACCAGCCCGTCGTGCTCCGGACGAGGGTTCCACCAATTTCTTCGAGGGTGCGGCGTGGTCCGGGGAAGGTTCCACAAGGGTTCCACCAGGGTTTCACCAGGGTTCCACCAGCGGTCCGGGCTGAGGTAATGTTCCATGAGAATTCCACCAGATTTTCACCAGGTTTTTGCAAGGTAAGGTTCCATTCCAGCACGGTTCTAGCAGGGTCTCACGAGGTTCTGCGAGGGCTGCGGGGTGGTCCGGGGTGGTTTGAGGTAAGGTTGTATGAGGGTTTCAGGGTTCCACAAGATTCTGCGAGGGCTGTCCTGAGGTTTCACAGGGTTCCACAAAGCTCTGCAAGGATTCCACACGGGTTCCACAAGGCTCCACAATGCTCCACCAAGGGTGTGTCGTGCGCCCGTTGTCTGAAAAGCCATCGGATCAAGATCGCTTTGCTCATGGGCGGAACACTAAGCAAAACCGAAATCAATGGTTTTTAGCACACTTTCACTGTTTTGTGACTTGCTCACTTGCTCAGGCAAATGTTGGCTTTGTGGCAAATCAGATCACGTCGCTGCGGAACTCACGGTGCAGCAGAGTAAATGCTTGGCATTGCTGCTTGGTGGGCTTTGGGTTCCAAGAATTCCACGAGGCTGCGAGGGCTATGAGGTCAGAAGGTTTCCACCAAATTCTGCAAAAGCTATGGGGCAGCCCTGAGGAAAGGTTCCAGCAAAGTTTCACGCTGAGCTCCACGAAAGTTGCGTGAGAACGGTTTGCGAGGTTCAGCGGGCCTACCCCGATTGCACTGTCGGGGCCCGCCCGATTGCACCGTTTGGGCCCGATCGGCCCATTGGTCGGGCCCCGATCGGGGCCCGACTCAGTCGGGCCCCGTCAATTGTACCAAGCTGGCATCGCCTAGTTTTGCTATAGATACAGTTGCAATCCACATGCTAAGGAAAACCGGCGTTGAGCTATAATATATGGGTGGCTGGGGTGGACATACGGGACGATGGGGGCCCGATTGCACCGTCGGGCCCCGATCGGGCCCCGATTGCATCGTCGGGCCCCGATCAGGGCGAGATTGCGCTGTCAGTCGTAGCTTTGCTTTACAAGGCGGCATCCTCAGCAACACTGGCGGTAAGGATGGTCCCGGGGCGTTCCGCGAGGATTCTGGGAGGGTGTGGTGCTGTTGGGGATATCGCCCGAGCTTATTTCTCCGACCTGTTTCTGGCTGGACTCCCATTTGTTTAATCATGTTCAAGCATGTTTCGGATCCGGCTGTCATTTTGTTTGAACATGTTTAAAAATGCTTTCAGCCTCTAGCCATTTGATACAAACATGCTAGAGTCATCTCTCGCCGCTTCGCTTTAAAGTAGGCATAGCTTTGAGCAACTGGCAAACCCCCATAAGCAGAGAGGGAGCTGACCCTTTTGGGGCAAGGTGTGCAAACGGCCGTTTCATCGCCGATTTGGCTTTACTTGCGCTTAGTCCACTGTGGAGAAGCTGGGGTACCTGAGTTAAAACACTTGGCTGTTTCAACAAGAGGCTAAACAACTGTTCCGACCTCGTGAATCAAAACAAATAAGCTTGTGGCCTGAGTTCGCAAAAAGAACATTTAAAGACCTCGGACATTTAAACCGTTCTAGCTGGGCCAGGCCTTGTTTAGGCCAGCTGTGTTTCAATATGTTGGGGATTTGTTCACACCATTTAAAGAAATAGAAGGGCCCCCGCCTGCAAGGCAGTCCCTGGCGTGGCGAATGCTTTCTTCATCCTGCTGCTAGTGATGTCAATCTACGCCATCATCGCCGTGGACCTCTTCAAGGACTTTGGCGTGGGGGGGAAGTTCACCAACATCCACGGGGTGGAAGTGGAGCTCATCTCCAGTCGCAAGCAGGAGTATGGCCCCGAGTATTTCGGGAACTTCGGGAAGTCCCTGTACACCATGTTCCAGGTTTTGACCTGCGAGAGCTGGGCGGAAGCCATCGCCCGGCCGCTGCTGCACTGCAACAGCGTCTCGGATGCCTTTGGGGTGGCCTTCTTCTTCGTGTCCTTCGTCATCGTGAATGGCGTGGTGCTGATCAACGTGGTGGTGGCGGTGTTGCTGGAGAAGATGGTGGACGACGATGATAAGAAGGAGGCTCATGGCAAGAAGCATGAGGAGGAGGAGAATGAGGATGAGGAAGAGGAGGAAGAGGAGAAGGAGAGCAAAGAAGAGGCCGCCGCGCTCGCGGATTTCAAGGATAGCCAGCCGATGTGGTCCAGCCCGGTGCGGATGGAGGCGCCGAAGCAGGACGGGGCGGCAAGGGTCGCCCATCTGAGAGCGGACTTGGATGCCATGAAGAAGGACATGGTCGTCATCCAGGACAGCATGGCGGTGCTGCTGGGCTTGTTGAACATCAAGCCCAAGGGCGCCCTTCCGGCTCGGTCCCTGAGGACAGAAAACGAAGGCAGAGCCATGGTTGTTGTTGGGAAACATGTTTTCCATTTTTACTTATTGTGGTTTAGTGGTTGAAATCCCACTTAACTGCTAAAGTTTGAGAATTGTTGCTCCCTTCCAACGTCAACCAAGGAACCCTCCGGAGCGCGGCCCGGGAGGACGAGCGGGGGCAACCCACTCTTCCGGGCGCCATCGCGCGGGAGTGAATAAGGGGCGCGAGTGCTACGAGTGCTGCGAGCTTCGGCCAAGGAACACGGCTGGAACACATGCCTGGCTTTCGGGTCGAAGCAGGTTCCGCCAGAGTTAGCAACGTAGCAAAACCAGGAAGTGATTCTTTGGATGGCCCAGTCTCTTGTTCAGTTTCAAGCTTACAGGGGCCTGAAAGCAATCCTGGTTTTGCTGCTCCGTGACCTCTTGTCGCTGCGTGGGAGGTCCTGTGACTTGCGCCATACCCGAAGGGTTGTGCGTAGTCCGGACATGTACACAAGTCACCGACAGCAAAAGACACATATGTTGCTATATGCAGTTGCTATATACTTTTTGCATATATATATATATATATGTCATCTTATGTATACGCATTATTACAGAATGGGCAATGCTGAAGCCTGGGCTGTGCCCAGCAACTGCGCTCAAAGCCGGATCAAGGCCCATCGCTATGTTTGTTGAAACACATATTGACCCTGCAGGTTTCTCTAGGAATGCAGGGTCTGAAGTCTGAACCTTCCATGGAAGCCTCAAGAATCATCGCTTCTCGGGGATGGCAAAGGTTGCGGAGTCGTGTTTTTGGCTCAGATCGGGACCAACGCGGCCGTGGGGTAGGGGAGCCTCTGGGTTGGCCAGGGGGGCCTCTCCTCTGCTGCTCTGGGGAAGCTGCTGGGCCTGCTGCTGGAGGCCAGGAACTGAGCGGAGTTCAGCACATCCCGGCCGGAAATGGCATGGGAGGGCCTGGAGAAGCCCATGAGCCATCTGTTTCAAAGCCAAGAACGTGGCATGGAAGCTGAAGACTTGTGTCGTTTATGACTGCTTTGCTTTTTCCACGGATTGTTTTTGCCTAGTTTCAGCTATGTTGGTCTTGGGGGAGTGTATTGACGACCATAGATTGATGATCAATCACAAATCTCTGGATCTTCTGGACCAGTCCCCCTCTATCAACCGAGTGCTATGTCCATGCGGCCCTCGATACGTCGAGGCGTGCCGCGGCGGCCGGTGGGACTGCGGCACGGTGGCGGCCCAGGCGCACGAAAGACGAGGGACCCGAGCGCCTGAGCGCTGTGCTGGGTTGGTTTTTTTGGGCGAGGCGCAGGATTGCCCCGGTCCAGTCCATGAAGTGAATATGGTGCCTGAGGTGGACCGTGAGGTGAAAAGGGTGGGATTTTGTTTTGGTGGGTGTGAGACACACCCCCATGTTTGAACAACTGTTGAATCCTGATTTGGAGGGTCCCCTAAAAAGTGACATAATTTTGACCTCCCGGTTTTGCCTTGGGAGGTTTCAGCTTTGGGGTGAGCCGCAAGGGGGGCCCATGGATATGGGGGTTGTTCCTGGCCCCCAAATGGGTAACTTTCTTAGTGGTGAACACTCACCCAAGGCGACCTAAGGTGTCTTTTTTTCTGTTTTTCGGGGGGGAGGGCCACGCAAGACATATGGGCTGCTCATATAGCAGTACTGGAAACTGAGAAATTTGAGGGGCAGAAAGGAGTTTTCAACTTGGGGTGAAGTGGCAAAAGCGCCAATGGCGCCGGGGTCTGTGAAGCGAGCGGCCAGGTGTTGATGCAGTCTGCTGCTCTGGAGCCAGGCAGGGGGCAAACCGGGGGTGGGGGGGAGGAGCTGGGAGGAGGAGCTGATTCTGCGACAGCAAGCCTTTGTGTGTCTTGCTATTGGCGCTTGTCCGCTGTCGGTTCCATCAATGTGCCAAAGCTCGGAGGTGGCGACCGTTTGGCGAGTTTCAAGCAGAACCACACATGAAGACACAACTTTCTTTTGGAGGGCGGGGTGTCCAAGTGATTGACGCGTTTTGCATTCGTGGCCCGACTCCAAAGTGGGGAGCCAAAGGTCAAAGTCTTCTGCGTCAAGATGTGAGGGGTTCTTCCAAGGAATCAAAGGGCACAACACCCTATGTCCTTTTCAAAGTGTCGGCGCATTCGTTTCAGCAACATGACATGGATTTTGCTACTCTGGGCGTGTTCCTGTTTTCCGGGCACCTTTTTGTTGGGATGTCTTTGAGGGGAGCCAAAAGGAATTACCCCAAAGGGAGCTACCCATAATTTGTGTTTCCCAGATTCAGAGACGTCACCAGCTGGCCAGGCGTGCTTACCACCTTGCTGGAGGACAGGGGCCGGATGTGCATGGGAACCCCCTCCAGCTTCCATGTGATTGGCCCCTTTTGAGAATATGGGTTTTCCAGCCCCCCAAAACAGGGCAGTGGCTCAAGGATCAAAATCCCGCGGATCCACGGCGAACCTGGTGTCTCTCCGCCATGCCGCCCTTCACAGTTGAGCAGGTGAGAAGCGTCATGGACAACACAGAGAGGATCAGGTCCCTGAGCATCATCGCTCACGTGGACCACGGCAAGACCACGCTGGCGGACTCCCTGGTCTCCCGGGCCGGAATCATCAGTGCCAAGGCAGCCGGCGAGAGGCGATTCACGCATGGCCGCAAGGATGAGGAGGAGCGCGGCGTGACCATCAAGAGCACGGGGGTCACCCTGCCTTTCGACTATGATGCGGGAGACGGAGCTGTGCCATACCTGGTGAATCTCATCGACTCCCCGGGCCACGTGGACTTCTCCTCCGAGGTCACCGCTGCCTTGCGCATCACCGACGGCGCTGTAGTGGTGGTGGACTGCATCGAGGGCTGTGCAGTGCAGACTGAGACGGTGCTACGGCAAGCCTTGCAGGAGAGGGTCAAGCCCTGCCTCTTTGTGAACAAGGTTGATCGCTGCATCTTGGAGATGCAGATGGAACCAGAGGACATGTACCTGCGCTTCCGGAATGCTGTGGAGAATGTGAACGTCATCATCGCCACCTACAACGACGCCTCCATGGGAGACTTGCAGGTGCGCCCGGAGTTGGGGAACGTGGCGTTCGGCAGCGGTTTGCACGGCTGGGCCTTCACCTTGGAGCACTTCGCGGGGCTTTTGGCGGCCAAGGCGGGTGTGGAGAAGGCGCGGATGATGGACAAGCTCTGGGGCGACTGGTTCTTCCATGCCAAGCGCAAGGTTTGGACCAACCAGCAGCAGCCAGAGGATTGCGCGGAGCCGTTGCAGCGCGGCTTCTGCCAGTACATCATGACGCCCATTTGCCAGCTGGTCAAGGCCATCATGGATAAAGATTCGAAGTACGAGAAGATGATGGAGCGCCTTGGCATCGTCTTGAAGGGCGAGGACCGGGAGCTCGCGGGGAAGGCGCTCATGAAGCACGTCATGCAGAGCTGGCTCAGCTGCGGGGAGTCCTTGCTCTCCATGGTGGTCACCAAGCTGCCATCGCCCAAGGTGGCGCAGCGGTACCGGGTGGAGAACTTGTACGACGGGCCCATGGACGACCAGGCGGCCTTGGCCATCCGCACCTGCGACCCTGCAGGGCCTTTGATGATGTACCTTTGGTGCATTTTGCCAAGGGATGTTAGGACTTCAATTTTTTGCCAACTAATTCCCATTAAACCACTAAAAGTTAAACTTTTAGCAGGGGAGCAGAAAGCAACCGAGGTACGTCTCCAAGATGGTGCCGGCCCCGGACAGGAGCCGCTTCTACGCCTTCGGCCGAGTCTTCTCAGGGACGGTCAGCACCGGACAGAAGGTACGCATCCAGGGCCCGCACTACCGGCCTGGCAGCAAGGATGACCTGCACGTGAAGGCCATCCAACGCACCGTGCTGATGATGGGCCGTGGGACGGAGCCCATCCAGGACGTGCCTTGCGGTAACACCGTGGCATTGGTGGGGGTGGACCAGTACATACTCAAGTCCGGCACCATCACCACCTTGGAGGATGCCCACAACTTTACGGACATGAAGTACAGCGTCTCGCCCGTGGTGAAGGTGGCAGTGAAGCCGAAGGACGGCAAGGACCTGCCCAAGCTGGTGGAAGGTCTGAAGAAGCTCTCGAAGTCTGACCAGCTGGTGGTCTGCAGCACCGAGGAGAGCGGCGAGCACGTCATCGCTGGCTGCGGCGAGCTGCACGTGGAGATCTGTCTGAAGGACCTGAGGGAGGAATTCGCCCAGTGCGACTTCACCGTGTCCGACCCCGTGGTGTCGTACCGTGAGACGGTGACGCAGCAGTCCAGCCAGACCTGCCTGGCCAAGTCGGCGAGCAAGCACAACAGGTTGTACTTCACTGCAGAGCCACTGCAGGAGGAACTGGCTCAGGCTTTGGAGGATGGCATTTTGGGCCCCAAGGTGGACCCAAAAGCGGGCGCCAAGATTCTGAGCGAGAGGTTCGGCTGGGACAAGCAGCAGGCCCAAAGCAAGATCTGGTGCTATGGGCCCGAAGGGGACGGGCCCAACATGGTGGTGGACTGCACAGTGGGCGCCCAGTACCTGAACGACATCCGGGACTCGGTGACGAGCGCCTTCCAGTGGACCACCAAGGAGGGCGTCTTGTGCGAGGAGAACCTCCGGTCGGTGCGGTTCAACCTCACAGAGGTGATGCTGCATCCGGACAAGGTGCACCGGGGCGCCGGCCAGATCTCGCCGGCCTTGCGGCGCTGCTGCTTCGCCTCCGAGCTCACAGCCAAGCCGACCCTGCAGGAGCCGGTCTTCTTGGTGGAGATCTCATGCCCCAAGGACGCCCTGAGCGGAGTCTACAGCTGCCTGAACCTGCGCAGAGGCTGCGTCTTCGAGGAGAACCAGCGAGAGGGCACCCCGATGGTCCAGGTGAAGGCGCACCTGCCGGTGGCGGAGTCCTTTGGCTTCGTGGCCTCCTTGCGGCAAGCCACCAGCGGCCAGGCCTTCCCCCAGTGCGTCTTCGACCACTGGGAGAGTCTGCCGGGCAACTGCCTGGAGAAGGGCAGCAAGATGGAGGAGCTGGTGCTGAGCATCCGCAGGCGCAAGGACCTGAAGGTCCAGATGCCAGTTCTGGGTGACTACCTGGACAAGCTTTAAGCAAACCCACAGGGGTGACTCCGAAAAAACCGCCCGCAGTGATTCGATTCGAGTCTTCCGAGCCGGGAGCCGTGCTCCCGTCTCCGTTTCCAGGCCATGAATTCACCTGCGAACGTGTGCAGATCATGGAAGCTTCGCAGCTAGCTTCAGGCGTTGTACAGATTTGAGGTCGCCGTTGCACTATGCAACAACCCCTGGTGGATGTTCGAAAAAGCCGAAAGAACCTACAAAGTCGCATATTCCCGTCCATGCTAATTGATATTCGTTGAAAGGAAACCAGCATGACACCAAACATGGTTTTTGGTCGTCCTAGCTTGTTTTTTCTCCTTCCAACACTCATGGGGTTCGACGCATGAGATTCCCTGTGTTGATGCTTTGGAGTCAACTAAAAAGATTGAAGGGCCCAGTTTTTTTTGGTTCCCTCCGTTCATTTGCAAAGTATGGCCCATTCTTGCGGGACGACCTATCAGCCCGCATCAAAGTACTTTTCACCCAACCCCCCCGAGTTTTTTATTTACCCCGCCCAACGTTGGCCAACTCGCCCAACATAGTTTCTGACTTACCCAAGTAGGTCGAAAGGACCTCCCCCCCAAAACCGCCCCTGACTTCACCCCCCCAGAAACAGACGACACAAATGGCCAGCCCAAGGGGCTGGACATCTCACCCTGCCTTTGGAGGAGCAGCTCCTGAGTGCGCCGGCACCCGAGTGGGACACGCGTTGTTTTCTTTTGAGGCTCTCGGTAGGAGCTCTTTAGGCCCTTGTTGGGGCTTGGGTCAAAACCAAAAGGTCAACCCCCCCCCCCCCTCAAAAGCATATATGAAAGAGACGGGGAGAGGAAAACAACTAAGGGTGTCCAAATCCAGCTTTGGACTTTCGGCCCATGTTAGCCACAATCAAAACCCGGGTAAGTGAAGGTTGGTAGGGCCAATCCCAACATAGCTGCGGATGTCCGCCTTCTTAGTTCTTTACATGCTTTTGGGTAGACCATTTTAATACCGCTTTTGATTATGGCTCATGTTGGCCCGGGGGTTCCTAAAGGATTTCACCCCGGTTGCAGCTCGCTTCTTGGACGCCTGGTGCCAAGGGCCCGGCGCGGCTTCTTGCTGTCCCTGGCAGCCTTTGGAGAGCCCGGGCGCCCCAAAATGCCCCGTGGGCTTGTCTTCCCTTGCAGGGTTCTGGAGGTTTATCCCCACTTCTGTGATACAAGGGAATCTCCCCCTTTATGTGGGGGTTAGTCTTTGGGGTAGCCTTTTCCGTTCTATCAGGTCAGGGCCAAGGTGGAGAGTTTTGGAACCATCTCAACTTCGGGGCACCCAAATATCTGAGGCACACCACTCTGATTTTTGCTCCTTTGGCCCGTGGAACCTGGGCTCCCTGGCAAAGGCCAAGAGGCCAAGAGACTGGCAGTAGGGGGACTGAGGCGCGGCTCTCTGAACCTAGTCCTAGACGTCCTGAAGCTCAGGTTTGTCAAGTTGGCCCAAACTAGAAGACGTTTCCGAAGGTTGCGCTTGTGGGCAGAGACAGGAAGATTCACGCGACAGTAAAGTGCAACGGAAGGAGGGTCTTGCCCCGGAGGTTCCTTCAAACAAGGATTGGTTATTGGCTTCCCCGAGTAGTTGCGTTGTACGTCTCGTAGTCATCCGCTGCAGATCATTTTAGCAAGTGTACCTGTAGCATTTTGACCAGCGCACGAATGGTCCTGCCAAATCACTTGAGCGTGTTTGCGTAGCACTTGACAGCGTAATTGAATGATCATATGGGTTCGCATAAGCCAGTGATCCCTCACTTGAACAGCGTGCAGCGTTGATGCATGCAGGACTGATAGGGGTCCTAAACATAGCAGTTTCCTGGCCATTGAAACAACTTTCCCGTTAAATGGTACAGTGCTTTGGTGTGAAATACGAGGGCCCCTGAATCTTCACCTTTTTTGCTGGCTTCCCCTTCCCTCCTGAAAATCCTGGACCAAGCTTCATCGGAGAGAACCCCAACCTACACACTTCCTCGCCCGCTTGTCCGCTTTGCCGTTTGGGTCTCCCCCCTTTTTTTGATGAGCAAGAAGTGAACAAGCTGTGGGGGGGTCGCGTCTATGGCTTGTCAAACTGCTGTTCAAAACAGTCTGAACAGCGAGACGTTGTAAAAGTCTAGTGAGACTACTGCACAAGAATCAAGTGGGGAAAAGCATCCGCCAAACCCACGGCGTAGTTCTTGTCAACCAAAAACCGGCGTCGGCCCGAGCCGAGGATGCTAGAGGAGCCGGTTCTCGCGCCGTCTCAAGGCGGCATGGCCCGGGTAACAACCAAACCTGTGAGTGAAGGTTAGTAAAGGACAGTCCCAACCATGAACAGGTGCGGCCGCCCTTTGGTTCTTTACATGCTTTGGAAAAACCATGTTAACGGGTGTTGATTGGGACTCATATGAGCTGACATGATTCTTGGTAGTCTGCTGTAGATCGGAAGAGCGAGAAGGAGGGACATTTAATTCCCACGTCCTCTTGGGAAACATAATTGTCCGGGGATCATATCTCAGCACCAAGATTCATGCCTTATAGCAGTAGGCAGTTTAAGCCAGCACGTGATTGGGTCTAGGACCATCATTTAGATTTTGTGGTTCACTGAATCTGGGCCGGCATCCAAACATGCGATTTCAAGTTGCGAACAGAAGCTGAGGGTAGATCTACGCGCTTGTGAATCACCACCAAATGGACGCTCATCCTAACGCGTGATGTTTCAGTCGCCACAATGTCGCCCTGCGGGCGCGGGCGAGTCCGTGGATGCGATACGGCTCCGAGGATTCTGGAAGGGCGCAGGGGGGCATGGGGTGGGCGGAAAGCAGGGTTTCCGCCACGTTTTCGGCTGGCATGGCACCGAAGGTGAGTCTTTCAGCGAGCCGGAGCCGTGGAAGCAATCGCCTGGACCCGAGGGGGCCAGTGATGACGGGCGAGGTGGATATTCGGCTGCTTGACCACGGGTGAGATCCCTCTAAACATGAATGGGACTTTTGGTTTCCATGTTCCCAACAGGTTGCTTCCGGTTTCACCAGGGTTGTCGAGATTTCGAACCGCAAACAGGGCAAGAATCACATGAGCCTCAAAAGGTGGCACCCTCCAAAATCCCCCTTGTCCGGTGAAACTCCGGGAAAACGGGGCCCAGCTCCTCGGACCCCTCACGCGCCCCACGCGCGCCCGCGCCCCACGCCCGTCGGGGCCTCGAGGCTGGCGGCGCTGGTGGCGGCTCTGGGCGCGGTCTTCCGGTCCGCCGCCTGCCCGAAGCTGGCGGAGGCGATGCTGCCGACGCTGGCGGGCGCGGGGGCCCAGGGGCTTGGGTGGTGGGCGGGGTGGGGTGGGGTAAGGTGGGGTGGGGTGGGTAAGATAAGTAGGTTATGCTGGGTGGGGGATGTGGAACCTTGAGGGAAGGGGTGTTGGTGTCCTGGGAACTGGGGGAGAATTTCGTGGGGGTTAGAGTGTAGGTTGGGTGCGGGTTGGGGTGGTTGTGGGGGGGCGGCTGGTGGCACACGCCGGATTTGGTTCAACACAAGAGCTGCGCGGCGCATGTGGGAGGCTGGGACCAACCCATCCTGGGACAACACCAAGCTCGCCCTGTGTTTGCGAATGACGTGTCACGTGGTCTTCTCCCCAACCAGCGGTCTGCCAAAGAGTTTGGAGAGAAATGACGGTGACACACTGAGCCCATTGGTGCTGCCGTACTGAAACAATAAATCAAGCATGTGTAAGCGGGAGAACAGATGGCCGGCTTGGAGGGCTGCTACAGTCAGTGGAACGCAAAGGGTGTACAATCATTGTTTTACCCCCATCTAGAATGCACAAGGCCAACCACACACGGGGTGCATTTCTATTTTTTTTTTTTTAATGTTTGTGCTCCTTTTTTTTCTTCATGGCTCATGCATTTCAGAAAGGGCTTTGTTTGCTGGATTAGGAGGTTGATGACGCAGCATTCGCCGGGTTTTGTGCGCATTTTAGCCAGGAAACAAAAAACAGAATTCGGGGGCAGCCAAACCACCAGAAACGAACGGGAGAAGAACCCAAAACCAAAATGGGTGACGGACAGCCAGCCAGTATCTGAGCCAACTTGAGCCAGCATGGCTTGAGCCAACATGGCTACGGTTTGGCTGCTGGGTATACGGGAACGGATTCTGCATCTTGATTTGTTCCAACCTCTGAAGTTGGTACTTTGCATTGCATCAACTCAATTGCTTTGTCTACAATGCAGTGATCGACCTTCATTTTTCTTTCTTGTGGAGGTTGGCATGTTTCATGCAATCAATTGTGAAGAACACATATCCTGAGGTTGGCTCTGCATTTCACAAAGTATTTTGGGGTTGGCACATGGATCCAACACCGAGATACAGTACAGACGCATGCTAAATCAGCAGGAATGCATGCTGGGACGTGCCGGTGCGGATCTCTATGGTTTCAAGGAAGGGGTGCTCTCCCCTGTTTCCGATGTGAGGGGGCACCGCGAAAACGTCAGGCCCTTTTATTGAAACCTCGTGACGCCTTCAAAGAGAACGGCCCCGAGAAAGTAAAGAGCATGCCTCTCACCCCCCTCCCAGGCCCGGCAACACTGAGCCTGAGCACCACGACCTATTTTTGGCCGCTTTGTCCAACCCCAAACCCAAAACTCGTTTTTCGACCTCTATTTTACCATATGTTCCTTTGGCTTATAGATGATCGGGCGGCGAACAACCGGATCTGGGGTCTTCCTTTCTTGAGGCTCCCCATCTTCGTCGGGGTCTCCGCCCGCGCTCTCGCGCGTGCCTAGCCCAGGGGGCCTGCTGTGTGCCGCCGGCACATCGCCGGCGCCGGAGCTGGTCGGAGGAGGCCGGGGCCCAGGGGGAGGGAACACACTGCGAGGCATGGGGGTAATGTCGAGCCCATATTGGGTATGGGCCAAAATGAAACCGCCAGGAGATGGACCGCAGGTTTAGTCCTTGATTCCACTTGCACCCACAGCCATATCAATCAACCCCGGTTTGCAACAGGGGGGTGTCGGATAATCAGACCACTTTTGGAGGGTCTCCACCCCCTATCAGTAGACTTGGGTTGATTAATATGGGGTCAATATGGGTGTCTTTTTTTAAAAGGGGTTTCCATTCAACCCACAACTTAAGCACAGTTAGCAGGGGATCGGACAGCGGACAGCCTAGTCGATCGAAAAAGGGGATTCTCTCTCTCTCTCTTTTTTTTTTTTTTTGGGGGGGGGGGCAAAGTAGTGGTTTTGTTTTGATTTTCCTTCGAAACCAACCATAAAAAGGTACCCACCCAAAAACCGACATGCCCAAATAGGGGGGAACGCCAAAAAGGGGACCCGGAGGATGACATCTGTGAACTACGATCAAGGCGCCTGGTAAGGCTGCGATGCTTCCTTTCCATGCTTTATGCTGGCCTTGGCCCGCCTATTTTCTGAGGACGACCACAGGTTCAAAAAGCTGGCCACCCCAAGGTCTTGTCTCACTTCCCTAGTGTTCTCGCTGGCGACCTTCACAATTACACGTGAAAACGCCTTCGGTCAAACGGATGAGGGGGAAAAAGGAGGGGTCCGGCTTGGTGGGAGGGTAAATATGGCTGTGGGTCAAAACCAATGGGATCCCATTTTGGTTAGTAGTTGCACCCATGTTAGAACCCTATTTGAGTGGTTGGATTGGGATGTTCACTGGGGGTACGGGCTTGGGATTTTGAGATTTTGAGCCATGGACCTCTGCGCTGTTCCACCAGCCGCGGAAAGCCCTTGTTCCTCCCTTGGATCATACGTGGACTCATGGACTCATGCACACGAAGGCACCGTCGGTTCGAGAAGTTCAAGGCCTGGAGTTGGATTCCCTCGAGGTGGAGGATACCTTTGAGTGCCCCAAATCAATCGGAGGTCGAACAGGAGATAAACAGAGCTGTGAGGAAGACCCCTTACATGATTCCTGACTTCCACCTTGTTAAGTACTGATGAAGCTCAAGGTTTGTGTCTAATTCTTTGAGGACCTCCCCCCCCCCAAACAAAAAGACGAAGCGAGCGGTTTCCTTTTGGCGTGTCCCTTTAAACCGAGGTGAGAAGGGGTACCGAGCCTCCACACACAAACCCAAACCCAAGCCCCAGCCCCAGCCCATTTGTTTTTGCTCCGGGACCTCGGAGGCTTCCTGGGCGGCTCGCTGGCCTTCCACCTGCGAGGGGCCCTGGGTTTGCTGGCCTGGACTCTTTTGCCTGGTGGTCCCCCCTGAGGTTTGGCGTTGTCCAGCGGAACCATGTTGCCCGTTTTGTGGGGGGTTGGTGCGGCTTCGGGGGGAACACGAGAAACTCTTTCCCCCTTTTCGGGGTTCGGACGTCCCCCGCGGGATGCCTCCTGAAATTGAGAGCACCTCACCTGGTAGATGCTGAAAGGGAAACCACCAGGGGACGGCAGACACGGCACAACCCATTTCAGGGGGTGCTTTGGTTTGCTTCGGCACAATATAATTCGGAATGCGCGAGTGGAGCTTTGGCCCCAAGGATGTTTAAGGCTGCTCCAAGAAACTATCCTTAAGCATCCAAGGAATCAAGGCACCCTCAGACCCATTTGACTCCTCCCTTGGGGATAATGCAAGTTTGGGCTTGCGAGCAAAAACAAGATTCCGGTAGGCGGTTAATTCCAGGAAGGCGCGTTCGTCTCGGTCATCTACCGGGCGCTGATTGGAGAGCGTGCTTATTATCTCCCGCTCGGTCCCCGTTTAAATTTGAAAGGTTGGTTCAGCAGGGCGCCAAAAAAAGGAAACCCGGAAACACTCTTTCGGGGTCCAAATCCCTATCTTGACCCCAGCCCAAATTCAGATAGGCTCACTGCCCGAGTTCCTGAGCTCGCCAACATGGACTGGTGCCAAGCCGCTGGCTGTGAAGCGAGCGAACGAAACTTGCTGGTGTTCACTAGAAAATGAGCGAATGAACCGGAAGGGGATTCCCTTAAAGCAAGAAACATATACGGATGGTTTTTGTGTCCGGATCCTTCCCTTTCTCATTCGCCTGTCGCGCCAGCCAGACCAAAGCCCCCATGGGTTGGAATTTTTCCCCGGCGCGGGCGCGGGCGCGCGAGGCTGCAGGCGCGGCGGAGCCTGGCGGAGCTGCTGAACACCTTGCTGGAGGAGGCGCCGGCGGAGCTGCGCCTGCGCCAGGCGGGGGGTTGCCGTTCTCCCAGACCAAACTTGGCTCCCAGCCAGCCCCTTACCGGATTTTTGTTTAGTGTTTAGATGGGGATTTCCATTTAACCCACTAAAGGTTAAACTTTTAGGAAACACCTGAGGACAGCCCAAAGGGGGTTGTGGGTATGGAAAGCCCGGTTTCAGGGAGAAGATTCCCGGAAAGGCAAGAGGTAGCCGCACATGGGGAGACTCAATGGGATGATTAGTTGAGCTGCTGGCATGGTCTATGTTAGCTGACCAGAAGGCGTGCAAGTATGAACACCCGTGCTATAGCAAGCATCCACTCCAAGGCGGTTGGGTTTCCAAGAAAAAGTCCCAACTTAGGCGCGGACATGTTGAACAGTTCAAAAGCCCCAGCACGAACCCCGGACGGAACGTGCGTTCGACCCTGATTGTCCGAGATTTGTTTGGATCCCCATGTCCCAATGCTTTCGAACAGGCGCAGCTTAACATTGACTCACACGGCTATTGGACTCACATGGGGGTTGATCAAAAGGATGACCATTGGTTGGAAAACCACTAAGCTGATATTTCCAGAGAGACTTAACCATCTTCATCCTGGGCCGAAGGGAGTATTGATCAACAACTGCTGCCATGTTTTTGGGATTGTTGCCTTGGATCCACCAAAGAGCCGGGCCAGGTTCGACCGCTCCTGTTTAAACAGTTGCTTCCCTTGTTTGAGAACCCCCCGTCTTAGAGTAGCTGAAAACGTTCTCGCGGTTTTTAGTTCCCTATTTGAGAGGCGGGGTTTGTCTCAACATTCAAGGGCACTCAACATGGCAGCGGTCCTTTTTACTTCCTAAAGAAGACACACCCATATGCTTACATTAAATGGTCCCATGCAGATTCGCACCCATACTTACAGTTTTCCGGAAAAAGCCGCGCTTTTCCCAGCTCCTCTCCCTCAAAAAGCCAAGCAAAATACTTGGTGGCTCCTAGCCATCCCCTTCGCCTTTTAGCCTTTTAGCCTTTTAGTGTTTAGTGGCAGTTTCCATTTCACCAATTTTTAACGCTAAACTTGGTAGCGGGGGATCTGAAAACGGGCAGCCCCGAAAAGGAGCAGCAGCTGCTGCTGGAGGGGCCCGGGCCCTCGCGGCTGGTGGAGAGCCTGTGCCTGGCGCGTCCGGCCGGGAGCTCTGAGAACCGAGAGGTCGCGAAGCGACCGCGCGAGAGCTCGGGCGAGAGGAGGTCTGGGGGCCTTTTTTTTTTTTTTTTTTATAAAAAATGTATATATATATATATATAATATTTTCAGGAGGGTACGTCCTGGGCCCTGTTTTTTTTCTTTGCACCCAAGCGCTTGTGTCATGATTTCATGTGGGGTGTTTCTCGCAGAAACAAGGCCAAAAGGCAGGGGAGCCCGGAGCCCCTGGTTTTGGTAGGTTTTGCCCCTTTTCGTTCCCTTTAGAGGGGGGTTTTGCACAGGAACAAGCCCAAGAAAGGCAAGAGGACAAGAGGAGCCCCGGGTTTCGTTGGCTTTCTTTAGCAGCGCGATGTGACCTTTTTGGCCAGGGATTGGGGCACAGGCTTGCAAGAGTTGGAGCGCCTCGTGGATGCATATCATTCGAGGGGACGATGCTGCGCGCTAGACAAGCGTGAAGCTATATCTTCTATGGCAGTCATGCCCAGGGGGTTTGAGAGCTGAAGCTGAGGTGGCAGGAGACAATTTGTCTGGGTCCAAATTTGCATGGCGTGTGCTGGCTGAACTCTGGAAGACATGTTTTCTTGTTGGGCTTGGTTCGCTGGCATGCGGGTGTGATGTCCAGTCAGTGTGCTCAAGGGCGAGGAGTTGTTGGCATGGCTTGGATAGGCGGGCTTAACAGCCTATGGAACCTCTGCCTGGCTTTTTTTTTTTGCACGCTCGGCATTGTAGGATGGAAACCTGTGCCTGGCTTGTAGCATGGTCTCCGTTGCCTCCAACCCCCCCGGGGTTCAATGGCATGTACGAAGCTTTCTAGCCGCTTCTCAAGGGGTATGTCGCCTGGTTTGGTGGCTTGGGGTTGGAAGTTATATCTCCTCCCGGCATGGACTGAACGGCCGAGGATCCCAAGCTGCACGAGATGCTGCTGGAACTGCCAGCCCGGCGCGTTTGTTTGCAAGCGGCAGATTGGCGGCGTGTCAGGAGATCAGCGGGGACCCGCCCCGTGCTAGAGAGGAGCCAAGGAAACCCTGGAGATCAGCTGAAGGCCCCTAGAATTTCGGATTACTTGGCAATGGCTACGTGTCTGGTAGGTGCACCACCCATTTTAGTCCATTTTAGTGGTTGGATTGGGATGTTCTGGGTTTTGACCCATGGTCTATGAGTCATATGGGTGTGTCTCAACATGGTTGTTTTTGGGAAACATTTTTCATTTTTGCATATTGTGGTTTAGTGGGACATCCCCACTTAACTGCTAAAATTTAAAAATGTTGCCCAAGTCAAAGTTGGGCACCTTTCGGGGGCTCTTCAAGCCCCACCCCAAAGGCTACCGCGCCCTCCAGAAAAGCCAGGCTGTGGCGGGGACTGCGGCGACGGGATGGCAGGGGGCCTTGGGAAGTCGGATGAGGGGGGTCTTCCTTGTGGCAGGGGGTTTTCCTGGTTTTTGTTTTTACCGAACCATGGACATGTAACATGGACTTGAGACGATTTGTGTGGACTTGCGAAAACTGGTAGTTTTTGGACGTTCATCTTTTTCAGTTTTTCCATGGATTTCGCGGGCAGCCATTTTTCTCCTGGTTTCAATTTTAATTCGGTTTTCTCAGTTTTGTCCTTTGGTTTCTTCAATTCCAAAGGATGAGTTTGTTTCTTTTCCACCATTCCACCAACAAACACGCAAAAGGTGACAGCTGCCCAAATTTGGGCTTTGCAAAGCCGGATGGAGGATCCGCTGTCCAGCCAGCGATTGCAAAAGACTTGCTTCCGGCTGCATGCCAAACTTCCGATCGTGTGGGGGATGTTGCGTTGATGGGAGCGCCAGCCAGCTGTGCGCAGAACTGGCCTTTGGCTTCCGACCGCTGTGTTTCAATCTGCCCAAAAAACTGGAGTTCCCCTTTTTCAGACCCAGAACAGGGATGGCAAGCATTGCAGCTGTTCGGTCCTGCAGTTTGCCCATGTAAGGCGTGAGGCGCGTTTTACTTGGACACATATGGGTATGGGTCAAAATTAAACCACCAGGGGACCGCAGGTTTTGGTCCATGTTTTTCCATTTGCCAGGATTCTCATATTTTTGACCCACAGCCATATGTCAGAACAGGAGGGCCCCCAAAAAGACGTGGGTTTTCCTTGTGGTGTCCCTTGAAACCAACCCGAAAAGGGTATCCCTTAAACATCACGCACACACACTAAAACTGGGCAGAAGTGGTTGGGCTCCCTTGAAGATCCACCGTAAAACCCCGTGGCTGAGGTGCTACGCAGGCGAGGGGCACGGGGTGGGTCTCAAACTTGGGGGACGGCGTCTACAGAGAAGCCAAAAGGGGGTTTGTGTTGTTTGAGGGTGCCTTGGATTAAAGGGAAACAGAAAGGAACACCCGCCATTTTTTGTTTTATTTTTTGGGAAGCCGTCGGATTCGGCCGGACTTCACCCTGCAAAGCTCCTTGGAGCCTCCGCGAAGCAAGCGGCTCTTCTTTCAGTTCGTGGATTCTCGGGTTTGTAAAAGCAAAGGTCTTTTAGCGAGAGAAAGAGTGAAGTCTTCACCTTGCTGCTGGTGTGAGTGGGATGCTGTTGAAACTTATGTGCGGCAGGTTCGCACAGAATGGCTACACATATTTTTGCTGGCGGTTTCTTCACTAAAAGAAAAAACCCGCGGGGCACTTGTCGGCCTTGGTCTTGAGATGGGCGCCCAACTCTCTTTGAACCGCTCAGGGCACGGCGGCCCTTGACCTGCTGGGGGCGCTGAAGGGCCCGAAGATCCAGCACCAGCTGCGGCACGAGGCGCTTTAAACAGCGGAGAGCGGAGCTTTCGGCAGGTGTTTTTTTATCGTCAGCCCGGGCGCCTTCAGCTCTAGAAAGGGTCTGCCTGGTTTTAGGTGGTTGCGCGATTCCATTTGTCAACGTTTGGAGGGGGTGGTTTTAGGCGCTGCACTTTCTTTCTGTTCGCCAAAGGTTTTTTTGTTTTCTGTTTTTCCGCTGAAGTCAACTGGAAGGGTGCATGGTTGCGGGAAGCTTGGAGATTTGGTTGCCGTTTTTGGTGAGCCCAGGGAATCCACGAGAGAACTTTAGGTGTTTTGCACATAAAGGGCCAATGGTCCACAGTGTAATACTGGTTCTTGTGTTTATCTGGTTCATTTTCCCTGGGTCCCAGTGGTGGTTGGGGGCATGTGTGGACTGGACCAGGGTTTGTCTCACAAAGGGGAACCTCTATTTGGACGATTTCCTCTTGATGTTCATTGAAAAAGGAGCACAGACCCAGCAGTCGTGCGACATCCCCAGCCTCAACCCCCCGAACACCCCAACAACAAGCCCCACCAACCCACCCCCACTCCACCCCTACCCACCCCCACTCCACCCCCACCCCATCCAACCCCTGCAGGTCTCGGCGGAGCAGCTCATGGATTGGGGCCTGGACCTCTCCCTGGACTTGTCGCGCCGCCGCAAGGAGATCCAGGGCCTGGCCTGCTCCGTGGCCTGGGGCGGCCCGGGGCCCCGAGGTGTGGGTGGGTTGTGCGTGCAGAAGGCCCCCGTGGTTGGCTGGGCCCGGTGGGATTTTGCTTTTTTTTGTTGTGGATTGGGGAGGGGTTTGTTTTGCTTGAGAACGTCGCATGGTTTGTAGAAACGAAAAGACCTCATTTGGTCGCCTTGTTTTGAAGCCCCGCAGCTGAGTGGCTTGGGGGCAACGGGGGTTGGGGAGGGGAATATGGGGAGAGTGTGCCGAGCGAAATTGAAGAGGTTTCAAGAGAAGTTTGGGCCAACTTGTTGGAGCAGCAGCGATACTTGGCTGACAGGAAAGGATCTTTTAAAAGGTGAAACCTGGAAATGTAGCGGAGCAAAAGCGAACTGCTGCTTTCTTCTCTTTCCGTTCTGCGTGCTATGGCAATCTGCCTTATAGCATTGATGGATCAATCATGCTGCCCTGCACTTTTGGGTGGTTTGGAGTCGGTGGCGCAGACCCAGGTTTGGTCCTTTTGTCCGGAGCAGCGGGGCAGTGGGGGTAAGCTGAGGCTTGCGGGCGTACGAATGTATGGCCACTTTCTCCGCACACAGCCTGGTGGTGGAAGGAGCCGACGGGGCGGGGGGGAAGGGGAGCGGAGGGTTCAGTGATGGCTCGGGGAAGTGCTTGATTTTGTGTGCGCGTTTGCTGGAGGGGTGTCAGCTGGATATTGTTTTCTTCCATTTGCTGAATTCGAATATTTCTTATTTTCCCCTGGTTTTGAAGGGAATCTATCACTGCTGGACATATGTTTTTATGTTTCCAGGGGTCTTAACCAAATGGAGGTTTTGGTGAGCGGCGCCAGGACCAATGAACAGGTAAGACTTGTTTTTGGCAGCTCACGAATCAACATTGACCTTTCGCCCAGAAAATGATCTGCCAAGGTCAACCAGGCCAACAGAGAAGAACGGGAGCCACAAAAAAAAATGCCGCGAACCAGTCTGGAGAGGTCAGCTCAGTTTTCGGCAATACAGCACCACTTTGGAAATTGGACACTGCTACCTCAAAAAAAATGGCGGAGGATTCGAGGCTTTCGGGTGGAGTCCAGGTGGATTCCCAGATGATTTGATGAGGATTCCAGTATTCTGCGAGCGAAGGGCTGTTTTAAGTTGTTAAGGGTCGCCTTTTTGGGTTGCCTTATCAACGACAATTGGCCATTTTCTTTTGTCATTTAAAGACAACCCCCCATCTCCCCCCCCCTAACCTAGGACCCACCCCGGGCTCGGCACCTTCCTTTGTAAAAAAAAAAAAACAGAGCGGTGCAGGCTTTCTGAGCAACGAGGACGATGAGCAGGCCGGACATGCCACAAGGCAGTTGAGGCTTGTTCAACGGGACTCCTTTTGTGACCCCTTTGAAAGGACAAATGCTGGGCATCGGGGTCCAAAAACGGGATCCATTCTTTTGAACCATTCTCTCGCATGTGTCGTTGGGCAGTGGGTAGTCTCATGCGAGCAGACGTCACATTGCGGGCGAGCGCGCGCTCGTCCCTCATTCCAAGAAAGCAAAGCGTCAGCGCCCCCGTCGAAGGCCGAGCCCGGCTGAGGCCGTCGTAAGCATCAACTGCCGGACTTTTTCCTTGTGACCCATGCGATGCCGTGTGTTGGATGAAGCCAGGTCTTAGGAGGCCAGGATACGCCCAGATACAACAGGGGCGTCTCTAGGTCAAACGCCGCCTGGCGCAGGTGGAGCTGAGCTTTGAGGTGCCCTGGGTCTTTGCGAAGGCCTCGGCTGGTTTTCTCTTAAACGATTTGCTGGGGAGGTGTTGGGATTTTCGGTGGTTCCACGAAGCACCTGGGAGAAGTTCTTCTCCCCTGGTGCATCCAGGTGGTGTGGGGAAAGGTTGCGAGATGGCCGGATGGCAAGATGGCTCGGGAGGCACTCCAAAATGGTTGGCTTCCTTTGCGTTGCTCGTGTCAAGCAACCAAAGTGGCACCACCCAACACAATCACACCCACTTTTTGGTTTTTGTGAAGGGGGCTCGTCACAGTTCATGCTAGTCCCTTGGCCCAGCCCTCGTCCAGCCTTTCGAGCCTGGCGCTGGGGCGACGTTGGCTCGGCATTTTACTGGTGACTGGAACGACAGACTTGTACGCTGTAAATACACACCATAGGTGTCCTTTTTGGTTGTTTTGCTAGAAAGATAGATAGGCGATTCCTGGTTTACCTGGTGGTTTTATCATAGGATACACGTATATGTCTCGGACCTGCGCTCGTGGGCCCTTGGTCGGCGACGCCGGCTGGGCTCCACCCGCGCGAAGCGGACGGCGTGTTCCAAGGTGCAGAACCCCGACGCGGCCACCGCGCGGGGCTTCCCTCTGCCGGGGACTTGGGCGGCCGGGCTCGGGGGGGTGTCACTGGCTTCCGTGGCCCAAAACAGCGCGAGCTCGGTTTGACGCTCTGAAGGTGCATCTCATTGGTATTATCATCCTTCTCTTGAGAACTTAGATCTTCTCTGCTTCTTCACATGAATTGGCTCTCAGCGTGGACAGTAGCAGCGGGTCCCTGAAGAAGAACATCGTCACCCCCGAAACGTCTTAAGTTCCATATGGCTGTGGGTCCAAAATAGGTACCCAAACTGGACCCCTGGCAAGAGGACACATGGACTAACAACCTGCGGTCCATTTCCCGGACACCAATCCTTGAGCCACGAGCCACATGCGGAGGCTTCCAGTTGCGCGACCGACCGACTCGCCCCGGGGCCCATGGCGACTCGTTTCGTGGGAGGCATCTGCCAGTGGCGCTGGAGCCGCTGCGCAAGAGCGGCGCCCTGGAAGCCGCCCTGGCGGAGCTGGTGCCGGGGCCTCGGCGGGGGAATTTTTGGGGGCGGTGTTGCTGTAAGTGGAGGTTCTTCTTCTTCTTCTTTGTTTCTCCTTTTTGTTCTTCTTTTCTTTTTCTTGTTTTTTTTTGGGGAGTGGGGAGAGAACCAAAAACCGTTCCTATTTGTGTGGTTATATGTTTTCTTGGGGGAGGGAAAACAAAAAGAGGAAAACCATTTTGTTTTGGGGGGGAGAGCCAAAAGCGGAAAACCGAGAAAGTCCATGTTGTTCTGGATTTTAAAGGGAAGCCGGCAGGACAACCGAAAATCCATTTTGTGGGGGGTTTCAAAGGGAAAGCGGAAGGAGAACCGAGATCCGTTTTTTAGGGGGGTCCCGATTTCTATTTTAAGACGCACCCCCATTTGGGCGATTCTCGGGAGTTTGAAAGTAGTGACGGGTGTTCACGGTGCGAAACAAGAGTTTTGGCTGCTTTCTGTGATACCAAAGGAGATCCCCTGCGAAGTGACAAAGTAGTCAGAGACCGCTGTTGTATCACGGAAAGTTTAGTCTGGTTAAAATATACTTGGACCCCTAAATCATTGCGAAACTAAATCAAACCCTTTTGCCGTCTTGCTGTCTGAAGTTCCTTCATTTTCCAGGGTCCAAGCCTTGCCAGGAAAAATGTTGAAACAACCTCTCTGAGGGTGCCCCTATATTTTCTTCAAAAAGAAGACCGAAAGACAAGCCTGGCCCATCACACGAATCGATTCTTTAAACACTGCAAAGTCCCATTCGGGGTTATGAGCCTAACTGGCGGCCCTACTTCAGGTACCCCCGAATTGGTGCTTTGGATTGGTGGGCTGGGGATTTGAACCTTTGGTTCTTGTGGAGGGTTCATGGGAAACCACCCCGAGCTTACAAAGCCAACCCAAATCGCCAACTGGGTGTGTCTGTTTTTGGGGAGCCCCAGTTTTCTTTGGTCTTTTTGTTGAGGGTACCCTTTTTGGGGTCGTTTTACAGGCTAGGTCCCCCAGTAGTGCCCTTCTACCGTTTCTTTCTTGGGGGAGGGTTCCCCTACTCAAATAGACAAACCAGAAAAAGAAGAATCGGGTACCAACTTCTTCTAATCTCACTGGAGGACCTAGGGAAGCCACAAAACAGCACCACCTCCTTCGAGGGTCCCCTTTCGACCGGCACACCCCAAGTCCCAGGTTGATGCCCACCCCCCCCCGATTTGCTTCAGGTCGCTGCCGGAGGCGGTGCTGCACATCGACAGCACCGCCGGGGGGCCCAAAAAAAATCCCCTGGGATTCGGAGCCGTGGATGGAGGTGAGGGGTCAGTTGCATAGGTGTCCTTTTTGGTTGTTTTGGTGGAAAAATAGATAGGCGATTCCTGGTTTACCTGGTGGTTTAATCATCTACCAGGGAGTTGAGCCACTTGCTCAAAACCGATTCGGGTAGATGAAGGGTAGTAAGGGACGATCCCCTTGCCATTAGCCGCGGATATCCGCCTTCTTAGTTCTTTACATGGTGCTGGGTGCACCATTTTTGTACCGGGTTTTGATTATGACTCAGTTGGGGTTGGGGGGGAGAAGGTACTGGGGATTTGTGAGCGACTTGCGAGGTGTTTCCTTCTGACGGTTGAACCGCTTGCTGGGCCCCCCCCCCAACCAGCAAAAAAAAGGTGTAGTATACTAAGACCCTTTTCTCGACCTTGACGGCCCGCGCGCGCGCGCGGGTTCTTTTCCGGTTGCCAGGTGGAGGAGCCGAAGACGCGGCAGATCTTCGAGGAGCTGAACAAGCTCTTCCAGGGCCTCGGCTGCTCCCAGGAGCCCCTTGCTGAAGCGCTGAGCCGTTTCTACGCGAAGGGAAAGCTGAGGGTTTGTTCGGGGGAGGGGAGGGGAGAGAGAGAAAGAGAAATAGAAAGAGAAAGAGAAAGAGAAGGGATGGAGGCGTTTGGGATGTTTGAGGGGAGATAGGAAAGGCGTGTTTGAAGGGCTTAGCCAAGAAAAAAAACACCCTCTTTTTAGCCCTTAGTCAGGGCCGGCGGGGTTCCGTCCAAAGTTAGCCAACCAAGCTTTCTCGCTGGAAACCATTCGGCAAGCCGGGCTTGGCAAAGACGCACACAACCTGACGCAGGGGAAGAGGTACTGCTTTTCGCACCTTGTGAGAGCAGTCCTTCCGGTGTGCTTGATGTTTTGCTTTGCCTTGAGCAAGGTGCACTTTCAGGGTTCGTTTTCTCTGGCACCTTCGCGCCGCTTTTGAAATGGTGCCACGCGTTGAAAAAAAAAAGCAAGACAAATGCAGGATGAGACCATGAGGAGCAACACCTTCGCCCGGGCCTCGGCCTTTGATGCGTGGAGTCGCTCGCTGCGAAGCGGAGCCATGGCAGCTTCGGCCCCTTCAGTTGGCAGGGGATGGGCAACGAAGGCACTGAATGGCCATTGGGCCCCGTGGGTTTTTTTCCCCAAAAAAACAGTCACCCCCTTTTGCTATGGGCAATCAAGGAACTGAATGGCCATTGGGCCCTTTTGCTATGATGGTATTTGAGCCTTTTGTTGGCTTCGAATGGGAATGATCGTATTGTAGCTTTTGTGACAAAAGGCGCGGCTGGCTCTGCCAGCGGCTGGGAGGGACCTTGAGCGCGATGGCGCTCCCAGGAGGAGAGCAACACCTGCTTTGTCACGCCTACCAAAACTCGACCTGCCGCGGAGCTCAGGGGAAATGGGCGATGTGCGTCTTTCTTGGTGTTTGTTTTATTTCTTGAGGGCGGGGGGGAGGATTGTTTTGAAGGGACACCTAAGGGAAGAGCCTGATGTTGTGCTTCGGGCTCCCTTTGAAATCAGCTACCAAAAGGGTACATGGGTGTGGAACCTGTTTTTCGGGGCAAACTTCTTTAACACCAAGGGAACCCCTTTGCAGTGATAGATTGTTTTTTTGGCCGACTTCGGTTTCACAGAAATGGCAATTTTCAAGCAGCATGGCTGAGGCTCTGTGTTAGTCTCTGCTTTGGCTGGTAATTAACCCTTCCCTGTCGCCTCAACAATGACTCCAATGCCTGCTGCCCACTGATGGAGGTGGTTCGGGCTTGCATGCTGCACGTGTCCGAGATCCGGGGCCCTTGCACACGGTTGGCCGATTGATGTCCAGTCCCTCAACGTGCCGTGTACTGAAGGGGCTGGCGCGGCACACAGAGTCACCAACTGACTAGACAGCAGTTCAAGATCCAGCATACTTTCCCAGGGCTACGTGGTTGAGCCCGGTTGAAATGGCCTCGGTGCAGTGGACAGGGATACTTGACAGTAGGGCGGGCAGCTCTTGCCCTTCTGCAGGGTGCCCTCCAAAAAGCTTGTGGTGACCTCCAAAAGGCCGTGCCATCGCAAGCAAGGGGGCCAAAAGGAAGGCCCTAAAACGGGTATGTGTCGTAATAGGGAGACGCTACAAACGGCGGCTTCATGTTTGGCTTCCCTTTAGACCACACCCCAAAAAGGCAGCCTCACAAAATACACACCCAAATATGGTGGCTTTATTCTGGGTTTCCCTTTAAACCCCGCCCCAAAGAGGTACCTGGATGCATGCAGCCAAATGTCCGAGGTGCCAGAAGAGGATGTGCGGGACCCCGGGGCCCCGACAAGGATCAGACCTTCAAATCCCGAAGCCACGAATCCGAACGATCAATCTAGATAGCTGTTTGTGCTGGAAGGCTATCACTTGCCAGGTTGATATGGGTGTGTCTTTTGTCATAGAAGGCTCCCTTCTTTTGGGTTGTTTCAAGGGGGACCACCGCGGGGAAACCAGCTGTCAAAATTGGGGTCCTTTGGTGGCCATGATGCCATGTCGTGCCGCCTTTGACGCAAGTAAACGTGCAGTTCAACAAGCCGTCCGTAGTTTCGCCAGCCCGGCCAGATGGTTTCACTGTCCGCGGACTCAAATCCGTCGAACTCTCGCAGTGCGTTCGTTCGAAGCCTTGGGCATTTTGGCCATCTAAACTTTCGTGCCAGCTGGATGGCCATTTCTCAACGTCATTGTCAGGTTGCCCCTGGTTGGCTTGCCTGCTTTTCGCAGAAGCCGCATCCTCGCTTTTCCAAGCACCTTCAAAGGGGGTTGGGTTGAAGTAGGGGACCCCCCCAAAAATGTGGTTTCCCTCTTGGTCTCGCTTTCAAGCTGCCCAAATGGGATACCCTCAAAGCACACGTGGCAGTGGAGCTTCTTTATTGCCGGCAAATCTGGGTGTTCCCTTCTTTCACGAGGCCCCGTCCGTACGGCTTCCAACACTTAGTTGACTCTGTTCAGCTTGAACCTGCTTCCGGGACGCTCTTGTTTTTTTGTTTTCTTCCGGGCGCCGAGGTGGTGTGGACTCCGCCGCCGAGTCAGAACCTTCTGAACGCGGCTGGTCCAAATCTGGGCCTCCCTTGTACCCTTTCCGGGTTTGGAAATCGAGGAAACCAGAAAGGGTACCCAGAACAAATCTCCCATTGAGGAGCCCTTTCTAGGGCAACCAACACCCGCATTGCAAGAAACTTCATTCTTCGGGAGGCGGCCATTCGGCTGAAGACGCGTAAAGTCTTAATTGCATTAAGTGCTTCTTTGTTGGTCGTCCTCTGCTTCTGTCATGATAGTTCTCCTTTCCAAGTTGTTTCATTGGGTGGTAGCGCTCGAATTGGGGGACTTGACTCCCCCCTCAAGGTGGGGAATCACCAGGACTGTCCCCAGACCCTGCACGGGTTGTTAGCAGGTGGGGGACAGTCTCTAGCATGAAGGCAGCCATTTGACTCCTTGAGTACCCAGGTTGTGATGATGACTCTCTTGTCCGTGAGTTCTAGTTGTTGGAACATGGCTGGTGGCGGGGGGGGGGGGCACCTGCAAACATGGCGAGCATTCATCGGAATGGACACCTTTGAACACGAACCCCTCGTGTAGTTCTGATGTCCACCACAGGGTCCAGCGAATTCACAAGTCGTACCCGCACCAGGGGCTTGTATCTTAGGATACCGGAATGCTATCATACGGTCCAACCAAATAACCCCCCTCCGACTTGCATGGCACCTGACAGCAAGTTTATTTTCCATCAGCCCAGTCGTAGGGTATTATGTAAGTGGGAGGACGGGTCTGGTAGACCCCATACATGGCAGTTGGTTGGAGGGATTTTATCGGCCCCACGGGCAGGGAACCCAGCGGGCCTCTTGTAGGCAGCGCGTAAAGCGCTCACTTTGGGGAAAAAAGACATGGCTTTCATTCCCATGTTGGGGGGTGAATCTAAGTTTCGGGATCCTACGTGCAACTCACGGGGAGTTCTGCCCAGCAATTTTGGGGATCCGGATCCCAACCCGAACCTGCGACACCGTCAAACATGGAAGCCCACAGGGTCCCGTTTTGGGATCATGAACCCAGGAAGACGCAGCCATCCATGGCGACGTGGAGTATAATCCATGAGGGGGATTTTGAAGAGACCCCATTACCAGACTTGGCTGGGCTTTCTAGCCTTTTGCCTTTTTGGGTTTGATTTTTCCGTTGGAGCTTAACGTTTTGCGGGGGTGTAAGTCGAGCCAAGATATGGGTATCTTTCTTCTTTTGCGGGTACCCGTTTTTGGATCGGTTGAAGGGGACAGCGAAGGGTTTGGGCCTTCTCAACATGGCCCACTGTTAGTTTGGTAGTGAGAGGTCAACCAAATGGAACCCCCCCCCCCCCCCCGCTCCATTTTTGTGGGTCTGTTTTGTTGTTCCACGCACCTCTTTCCAGCAGAACACCTCGGAAGGTCACCCGAAGTCCCCCCCCCCCCCCATTCCTTCCAGTGAGCCGGCCTCAGGAGGCCTCAGCGGCATCTCCGAAGCGGTCGCCCCCAAGGGTCCGACGCCCGGACCCACCCGTCTCCCCTCTAGTGGGTGGTCTACCTCCGGGTTTTTTCTGCCACCCATCCCAAAAAATTCAAAAAAAGAGGTCACTTCCCAATGATTCTGGGGCGCTTCGGCTTTGGAAGGTGTTTTTGCCCCGCACTTGGGGGGCCTTGGTGGTTTTCGCGCAGCCGGATCATGCCCTTGAACTGGGGGACCAATGGGGGAAGCCAAAACGAACCGCTTGGGGGTGTCACCTCCAGCTTGGGAGCCGTGCGGATGGTTGGCAAATCATGGCGGCTCCTAGTTGCCAGTGTTTGCCAAAGTGTCCAACTTGGTTTGACATGTGGGTCTGTCTCCAAGTAAGGACACACTGTTTGGATGGTTGTAAAGGAAAGCCAACAGGAAACCAGGCATTTCAGGGATGCCTAACGTTGAGACACCAAGGGTGTCCACCAAAAGGGCCCCCAATCAAAATTCATGCCGAAGTGTTAGAGCCTGAGCCACAAATGGGTGTGCCCCAAAGTGGTGGACCTCCGTTTGGTTGGTATTTGAGTTGACACCAAAAGGAAGCCAGCTATTTGCGGGTCCCTATTTCGAACACCACCCAGAGCATGTTTGATGACCAAACGAGTGGAAGTCGGGTAGTGGAGCAATTCGACGTGCGTGGACAATTGGTGCGGAAAACCTGTTTCCTGCAGAGCATGTTGCATTCCGCGCATGGATAGGGAGGCCCAGCACGTTGGCTTCCCTGGTGATGTCCCTTGATTGCTATTGGGTTGGATCTTTAGACTTCAACTTTTCGGAAAATCATGGTGTTTTCCACCCCCAAAAGTTAAACTTTTTGCAGGGGGGGCAACAGCAACCCAGGTCCGTAGAGGCCAATTGGGACACGGGGAATGGATTCTCGGAGGAGTCCCAGCGCGTGCGGGCCTTGGCCGAGTCGCAGGACTTCAAGGCGGGGGGGCCAAAGGCTTTGGGATGCGGGAGGCCCGTGTGTTTTTTGTTCCTTTCCTTTTCGAGCTCGTTTTTTCCTCCGGGGAAGTTTGGGGTTGAATTTTGGGGTTGAATTTGTGGGGTGAAATTTTGGGGGTTGAAATTTTGGGGTTGAAATTTTGGGGTTGAGATGGTCGCAGGAATACTTGTACCCACAAAAGCTCGGCTCTCTTTGGACTCGGTGGAACGCATGGGGGTGGTTTCTTGGCCAAGCACCGTCCAGGAGTCCCAGCCTTCTGGGGGGTCGGCAGCGGCCACAGTAGAGATGAAGGCGTGGGGCGGGGGGGAGGGATGGGGCAAGACATGTGGTGTCAGTTTGGGGTCCAGAGCTGTCCGACCAGCCAATCATTTTTCCCAAGAGAACAAGGCAGCCGTTTTCGAGAACCTTGGCTCAATCGGGGTCATAAGTTCACTTGAAGACCTGGCCATTGCCGTTTTGTGAAGGGACAACCAACAGGTCAAAGACTCGGTGAACATGGCCGCGCCTTTCTTTTGATAGGGGGACCCCTCACCTGCCGGACGTGGTCCCCGAAGGTACTCCGCCAAATCGACAGGGAACAGGGCCTGACCTAGGCGTCCAGCAAGAGTGCCTGGTATTGATTTAGTATTCGCTTAATTTTAGCAGTGCAGCGAACCAGCACTGCTTTGAATTGATACTTAGCACTGTTCCAGAGTTTTTGTTTAGTATGTTTAGTATTGGTTTGCACTTGGTTTCGCATGAACCTCATCTTGCGCTGGTCATGTGCAAACCTCCTTTTCGTCGGGTGCGTCTCAGGGACCTGCTGGGCCAAGTCCAAGTCCGTCGCAGGAGGTGGGGTACCAAGCGACGGAAGGAGGTTTTGATGGGTGCAAGTTGGAACGCCCTCGAACATGACGCAAACCTGGTCGAAGGACAAACAAGCAAGTGAGGGAGAACCCAACTATCTGACAAGAACTAATTTGTAAAAACAAGGGTGGACGGGTGGGTGCGTGCGTGCGTGCGTCCTCCTTACGGGTGCGGCAAGGATGAGGATGCAGGGTTGGGGCAAAGGTATGGTTTGGGATTGTAGCTGAGCATCGCAATTCCATAGCATGACCCTTTCAGTATCCGCTGAGATGGTAGTTGTACCATGCTGCTCCCATTGCTAGTGGGTGCCAGCAAGGGAATGCATGCATTGATTGCAGGTCGACCAGGCGGGACACTTGCATTTGTTGATACCCTCAAAACTCTGCAGGATTGGTCAAGTTTTGCGCACGATGCACACGTTGTCTCAGACAATAATCATGTCGGTGTGTTGTTGAAGTGGAGACCGCGTGATTCGGTATGGGCAGCGGCCCCTGACGCCCACAGTTTTCTTGAGCCGACTAGTTTGGGAGTGGCCGCTGATCAAATTGACCTTTGACAGCACGTGAAAGAGCACGCATCAAATTGGTTGCAGGTGGAAGAAGCGCGAGCCGAGATGAAGGAGCTGGAGATGGCGTCCGTGAGCGATGAGGCGTGGCACACGCGCGTTCGCGCGTCCTTCTCAAAGAGGCCATGAATGTTGCCAGGCCCAACGCACGCCTGAAGTGGGGGTCGAGAGGGCCTCGCCGGACAAGGGCGAGTCACTTCCAGCGTCGAAGGAGGCTTGAGGGGTGCAGCAAGGATGAGGAAGCAGGGTTGGGGCAAAGGTATTCTTCAAGATTGTATGTGAGCATTGCAATTCCGTGGCTGACCCTTAAAGCCTTTCAGTTGCTAGTAGGTGGGATCCAGAGGCGCCAAGTGTCCGCTGAGATGGTAGCTGCACCATGCTGCACCCATTGCAGGTAGACGTTGCCGCGGCCGAGACAAGGGCCGCCGACATCTCGCCGATGCGTGACCAGGCGGGCCTCTTGCACTTGTCGATACCCTCAAAGTTCTGCAGAATCATGCAAGTGTTGCACAGGATGCAACCATTTCTCGGGCAATAATTTGTGTTTGTGTGTGTGGTTGAAGTGCAGCCCGCATGGGCAGCGGCCCCTGACGCCCACAGTTGTTTTGAGCCGACTAGTTTGGGAGTGGCCGCTGATCAAAATGACCTTTGACAGCACGTGAAAGAGCACGAAGCAAATTGGTTGCAGGTGGAAGAAGCGCGAGCCGAGATGAAGGAGCTGGAGATGGCGTCCGTGAGCGATGAGGCGTGGCACACGCGCGTTCGCGCGTCCTTCTCAGAGAGGCCACGCCTGAAGTGGGGGTCGAGAGGGCCTTGCCGGACAAGGGCGATTCACTTCCAGCGTCGAAGGAGGCTTGAGGGTGCAGCAAGGATGAGGAAGCAGGGTTGGGGCAAAGGTATGCTTTGGGATTGTAGCTGGAAAATTGCCTTTTCAGTTGCTAGTACGTGGGTTTGATAGGTGCTAAGTGTCCGCCGAGATGGTAGCGGCACCATGTTGCACTCATTGCCGGTGGGTGTCAGCAGATGACACGGCATGCTTGAATCGCAGGTAGACTTTGCCGCTGCCGAGACAAGGGCCGCCGACATCTCGCCGATGCGCGACCAGGCGGGCCACTTGCACTTGTGGATACCCTCAAAGTTTATCGGGCAATATTTGTGTTTGCGCGTGGTTGAAGTGAAGCCTGCGTGATTCGGTATGGGCAGCGGCGCCTGACGCCCACAGTTGTCTTGAGCCGACTAGTTTGGGAGTGGCCGCTGATCAAAATGACCTTTGACAGCACGTGAAAGAGCACGAATCAAATTGGTTGCAGGTGGAAGAAGCGCGAGCCGAGATGAAGGAGCTGGAGATGGCGTCCGTGAGCGATGAGGCGTGGCACACGCGCGTTCGCGCGTCCTTCTCAGAGAGGCCATGAATGTTGCCAGGCCCAACGCACGCCTGAAGTGGGGGTCGAGAGGGACTCGCCGGACAAGGGCAATTCACTTCCAGCGTCGAAGGAGGCTTGTGGGGTTCAGCAAGGATGAGGAAGCAGGGTTGGGGCAAAGGTATTCTTCGGGATTGTAGCTGAGCATCGCAATTCCGTGGCATGACCCTTTCAGCTGCTAGTAGATGGGATCCAGAGGTGCCAAGTGTCCGCTGAGATGGTAGCTGCACCATGCTGCACCCATTGCAGGTAGATGTTGCCGCGGCCGAGACCAGGGCCGCCGACATCTCGCCGATGCGCGACCAGGCGGGCCACTTGCACTTGTGGATACCCTCAAAGTTCTGCAGAATCAGGCAAGCTTGGCATGTGGATGCACACGTTTTATAGAGAGCTGAAGCGTGCAGGTGGAAGAGGCCAGAGCCGAGATGAAGGAGCCGGAGATGGCCGTGAGTGATGAGGCGTGGCAAACGCACGTTGGCGTGTCCTTCTCAGAGAGGCCATGGATGTTGCTAGGCCCAACGGACGCCTGAAGTGGGGGTCAAGAGGGCCTCGCCGGACGAGCGCGAGTCACTTCCAGCGTCGAAGGAGGCTTGAGGGGTGCAGCAAGGATGAGGAAGCAGGGTTGGGGCAAAGGTATTCTTCAGGATTGTAGCTGAGCATCGCAATTCCGTGGCATGACCCTTTCAGCTGCTAGTAGGTGGGATCCAGAGGTGCCAAGTGTCCGCTGAGATGGTAGCTGCACCATGCTGCACCCATTGCAGGTAGATGTTGCCGCGGCCGAGACCAGGGCTGCCGACATCTCGCCGATGCGCGACCAGGCGGGCCACTTGCACTTGTGGATACCCTCAAAGTTCTGCAGAATCAGGCAAGCTTGGCATGTGGATGCACACGTTGTCTGAGGCAAGAATCATGTCGGTGTGTGGTTGAAGTGGAGCCTGCGAGACTCGGTATGGGCAGCCACCCCTGACGCCCACAGTTGTCTTCAGCCGACTAGTTTGGGAGTGGCCGCTGATCAAAATGACAGCCCGTTCTTTGCACGAATCAAGTTGGTTGCAGGTTGAAGAAGCCAGAGCCGAGATGAAGGGGCCGGAGATGGCGTTCGTGAGCGATGAGGCGTGGCACACGCGCGTTCGCGCGTCCTTCTCAGAGAGGCCATGGATGTTGCCAGGCCGAACGCACGCCTGAAGTGGGGGTCGAGAGGGCCTCGCCGGACAAGGGCGAGTCACTTCCAGCGTCGAAGGAGGCTGGAGGGGTGCAGCAAGGATGAGGAAGCAGGGTTGGGGCAAAGGTATGCTTTGGGATTGCAGCTGAGCATCGCAAATCCGTGGCATGACCCTTTCAGCTGCTAGTAGGTGGGATCCAGAGGCGCCAAGTGTCCGCTGAGATGGTAGCTGCACCATGCTGCACCCATTGCAGGTAGACGTTGCCGCGGCCGACACCAGGGCGGCCGACATCTCGCCGATGCGCAACCAGGCGGGCCACTTGCACTTGAGGATACCCTCAAAGTTCTGCAGAATCAGGCAAGCTTGGCATGTGGATGCACACGTTGTTTGCGGCAAGAATCATGTCGGTGTGTGGTTGAAGTGGAGCCTGCGTGATTCGGTATGGGCAGCCACCCCTGACGCCCACAGTTGTCTTCAGCCGACTAGTTTGGGAGTGGCCGCTGATCAAAATGACAGCCCGTTCTTTGCACGAATCAAGTTGGTTGCAGGTTGAAGAAGCCAGAGCCGAGATGAAGGGGCCGGAGATGGCGTCCGTGAGCGATGAGGCGTGGCACACGCGCGTTCGCGCCTCCTTCTCAGAGAGGCCATGAATGTTGCCAGGCCGAACGCACGCCTGAAGTGGGGGTCGAGCCGGACAAGGGCGAGTCACTTCCAGCGTCGAAGGAGGCTGGAGGGGTGCAGCAAGGATGAGGAAGCAGGGTTGGGGCAAAGGTATTCTTCGGGATTGTAGCTGAGCATTGCAATTCCGTGGCATGACCCTTTCAGCTGCTAGTAGGTGGGATCCAGAGGCGCCAAGTGTCCGCTGAGATGGTAGCTGCACCATGCTGCACCCATTGCAGGTAGACGTTGCCGCGGCCGAGACCAGGGCGGCCGACATCTCGCCGATGCGTGGCCAGGCGGGACACTTGCATTTGTTAATACCCTTAAAGTTCTGCAGAATCAGGCAAGCTTGGCATGTGGATGCACACGTTTTATAGAGAGCTGAAGCATGTCTGTGTGTGGTGCAGGTGGAAGAGGCCAGAGCCGAGATGAAGGAGCTGGAGATAGCGTCCGTGAGTGATGAGGCGTGGCAAACGCACGTTGACGTGTCCTTCTCAGAGAGGCCATGAATGTTGCCAGGCCCAACGCACGCCCGAAGTGGGGGTTGAGAGGGCCTCGCCGGACAAGCGCGAGTCACTTCCAGCGTCTAAGGAGGCTGGAGGGGTGCAGCAAGGATGAGGAAGCAGGGTTGGGGCAAAGGTATTCTTCGGGATTGTAGCTGCACAATGCCGGTGGGCGCTGGTGGGTGGGGTAACATATTTGTGATTGGTTTGCAGGGATAGGAAGACCACATTGTTTTGGCCCCCCTATTTTGATATTGGCAGGTAGACGTTTCTGCGGGCGAGGATGTGTCTCCGATGTGGCTTGCATTGAGATCGGCGCCCGATACAGCTGGAAGAGCAATAGTATAAGTGCTCAACGAATCATAATGGGTTTCTGTAGGGGGGGACTTTGAAACCAGGTCAAGTCACGATCCTGAGATTGTAACCATGTGGGGTTTGTTTCAACCTAGGGGCACCCCCGAAACGGTGGTTTTCCCTTTGGCTTTCCTTTAAAGCAACCCTAAAACGGATACCCGCGAAAGACAAGCACCCCCGCCCCCCCCCTCCTTCCCCCGCCCGTGTGTGTGTGTGTGTGGCTGATATCAAGCGTGCCACAGCGCAGGTCAGACCCGAAGCTGAGCTGATCTCCGCGGAGCCTCAGGAGGCAGAGTCGGGGGGGGTGGGGGCGCTGGGGCGGCGGGGGGCCGGGGACGGCGGGAGGTGAGTAGAGGTGAGTAGCTTAGAGCAAGACCTTCCCTGCAACCATGGAACATGAGGGTTTTGGAAGTCTAGCCCTGCTGTTGTGGAAGTCTATCTCTTGAACAGGCCCCTGGTCCACTTTGGAAACGTAGCAAGTGCAAGTGCGCACATGAAGCCTTCCGGTTTCAGGCGGGCATAAGAGCTGGGGTGAAGGACCCGGAGATGTCGGCCACAACTGACCAGGCGGGGTGAGGTGCTAGAGCATTGAAGCGACTTTGTTGGGTTTTCCTGACCTTGTGGCTTGTTTTGTTCGACCGACCTCGCGCAACACCCTTGGCAAAGTGGGTGAGTCGAGAGTTGCCAGAAACGAGCTGCAGTTCTCGTTTTGAAGCGCCGATGTTGCATCAGTCAGGGCGCTGCAACCTGCGGAAACTCCGCGCCGGACGTGGCCAGGCCAGCGAGCCGGAAGTGGAGGAGTTTGTGCGTCAGGATGTGCTGCCGGAGGCCGAGGGGTTCCAGCGCAGTTGCGGCGCCCTCTGGGTGTGGGTTCAAAATAAGCACTTGTGCCCAACATGGCTTGCCCTGGAAAATGGACACAAGGACGAACACCTGCGGCTTTGGGTGGTGTAATATTCGACCCCGAGGCAAGGGTAGGAGAGGGAAATAGAAGCGAGGAGATGGACCGAGAGAAGGGACAGCATTTGTGTATGAAGGATGACTCCGTACGTGGAAGAAGAAAAGCATTCCATCTCTTAATTTGGATTTTTAAGTCGTAAAAGCATTATATTAAAGCAAATTAATTATTTATTGTATTTTATTTTATTTGTCTTTCTGGGAAGTTCACGCCCATTTGCTAGCTCTAAGAGCCGCTGCAATAAACGATAATATGCTGGAAAGAAAGGCCCGCCATCACTTGCCATTCCTATCTTGTTCTTTTATTATTGTTCTTTTTCTTTTTATTTACTTTTCCTTTATCATTTTGTGTTTATAATAATAGAATTTCTTTTTCTTTAATTGGCTATTACTTCCATCACACACAATTCTATTATTTATTTATATTTTAGAATTATGTAACTTGTCTTTTTTATAATACTTTTAATTGTCCTTTTAATTACATTTTGTTTATTTATTTCTTTTATTTTCTATTTATTAATCTTGGAATTTCTTTAATATCATTTCCTAATCAATTACCGAGAATAAATAATAAGAAAAGAAAGGGAAAGTAATAGATGAAACATATATGACACAGATAGAAGGAATACAGACCCAGTTGGTTTGGTAGCTTTCCCCACCAAATAGTCAGGATTCCTTTTACCAGGGCCACTGAGCAGCTGGTGACGGAGCTCGGGGGAGGGAGGGGGCACGAATGTGTTGAGCCACGGCCGTGGTCGTGGGAGGCTCGGTCTTAGGGACACCCCGGGTGTGTTGGGCAAGTAAGGAGGGGTTTGCTCTGTACGTGAGGGCTTCCTGATGTGCCGATTTTCCCCGGCCTTGCAACCTACACGGGGTTTTGGTTGCTCACGTGACAGCAGGTCCATATGTGTTGAAGGCGCCCTGTGTGTGGCTGTTTTAGAGGGAGGCTCGAAGAAACCCATCCATTCTGGGCACCAGTTCGAGACATCCCCGCGCCCTCATTGCAACAATCATGGAAACTGACAGACTTTTGGAAGAGAGTGCTCTTGTTCGACAGTCCTCTTCAAAAGGCCTGTCCACATCCCTGCTGGAAAGCGGGTACTTCTCGCGAGAGAGACGCCCAACGCAGGCGGAAGGAGGCCAAGCGTCACCGCCCCCGCCCTTGAGCCCAGAGAAGGCGAAGCAGTGCTTGTGGCGATCTCTTTGTGCCCAAAGACCCAAAAGAAAAGCGACAAGAAAAGGCCTGTGATCCTTGTCCCCCCGAAACAAAGCTAGTGACCAGTGCCTGTTTTTTTGGGTGCTCTGGATGCTGGCGGGAGGGAGGGGGGGATTTGTTCCAAGGAGGCGGCCCAATGACTAGGAAGACAGAGTTCCGGCGGTTGAAACTGGCTTCATCAAAACAAGGAATCTACAGGGCTTCTTGCTTCATCTGTTTCTGGCTGGGAACCTTCTTGATTGTGGCTCACCTGCCCGCAGATCCATGATTTGATTGGTGTACCCTTTGTTGAGGGTGCGCTTTTGTGACATGAGTTTTTGGAAGGGATTGCCGCTATGAGCCAATTCTTGGCGATTGAGACACCCCGCGCACCTCTCGCGGCCCGGCGCAGGTGAAGGAAGTCCAGCCACCAGAGCAGGACTTGCAGGATCCAATCCCAGAGATTGAAGAGGCGAGGCCCATCGAATGGCCGCGGAGGGTTCCGGCGCTTGAAACTGACAGGATCGACTGGGTGACCAGTCTCACTCAAAGTTCTCATTCTTGTCCAAAATGCTGTTGGACATTCTTTGGCGTTTGGCAATGGGTGTTTCCTAAGCGAGGAGCCCGCTCTCAATGCTTGGCTTCCGGCAATTGGGGGGGGGGGTCGGGGGGTTTGCCATGCACACCTAGAGCGTATTTTGCCAAGAAACCAACACCCTAAATGAAGGAGGTTGCAAATAGACCCTAAGCCATTATAGTGGGGGAAGGGGGGAGGCCCTTCTTTCCAGACATCTCAGCACATGTTTTGGCAGGATGGGCCGGGAGGACACAGGGGCAAGGATCGGTCGGATCAGGGCAAACTGCAGGTTCCGCTCACTTTCCTATGAAACGCCATCCCAAAGAAGGTCACCAGTTCTTTTTTTTTGTTTGTCTATTTTATTTCATTCTCTTCTTGGCTTTTTATTTTTTTTTTTTTGGGGGGGGGGGCGGGGAACGGCACAACTCTGCGGTTTTCCTGTTGGCTTGCCTTTGGAACGACCAAAAGGGGTACCCGCAACTCGCCAGTTTTCTGCAGACCACCCGGTTCAGACAGAAACGGATCTTGGTAAGCGCGCCCTTGGTGTCTTGCATGGCGTCGGTGATGCAGCGTTGGCAGGAAGAGCCGAAGCCAGAGAAGGATGCTGATCAGGCAGGGTCGACCTCTTCAATGTTATGGCGAAAACCTGCCTAATTACTTGGTATTACTATGTGTCGCACTATGAGATGGTTGTCCACTGCTCTGAGTTTGACAACATTTTCAGACTCCTCATTCGGGAACCACGACTATGGTCTATTTAAAGAGTTTTTATCATGGCACTGGTGTCTTCAAACTGTAAACGCTGTGTAAATTGGAAGAGTAGGAATCCCAGTTGAGATGGTGGAGCGGGACTAAGTCCCCATGCCAAGTTCTGAATTGAAACTCTGCGACCAAAACTCCTGTGAGCCATGGCCCTGATTCCCTTAGAGCAATTGTTTGTGAAATTCCTTTGCGGTCCGTGACTGTCCCTTCCATGTCAAAGTCAGATATGTAACATCACCTACCGTAGCCGAGGAAAGGGGCGCCAGAACACCTCCCGGCACCGGTCAATATGAAACATCAGCTACCGTAGCCGAGGGAATCCCACTGCGTATCACAAACTTGCCACCGGTTTTTGGAGCAACAGGCGCCCAGCACGTATTGATCATGGCCGCCCATCTAGACGCCAAAACTTCAGTCCGATCGTGGACATAGTCCATAGCCAACCCAACATGTGCGCCCGGACCTTTCTTGTGCCCTCTCTCTCTCTCTCTCTCTCTGCTTTTTGAGGGGGGTCAACAGAGTTTTGTAGTTTCCCTTCAACGTTTGCTGGTCAGACTGTTTTTGGGGGGAGTTTTCCCTTCAAAGCTAACTACGAAGTAAAGTGCCAAACTCCCCGACCACTGAAAGTCTAGGGCTACGGGAGACGGTCTCAACTACTCGGGTAAAGAAAGGAGCGCGAAGAACAACCCCGTCCGCCAAGCTAGCAGTTTCCAGCCCCGCATCCGTCAGCCCCAGGATTTGCGCACTTTGAGCTACAAGGCGATCGGCAGAGATCGATCCGTAGATTCGATGTTGCCGCTGACCTTTGAGGAACAATTTGAAAGGGGACACCAAAGGAGAGGCACTTGTGCTTGACCCTTGTCCAGCTCGTTCCATGGGTTTGCCTTCCACTAACACAGCAACAAAGAATGCTTCTCCTCTGGGTTTGCGAGGGGCCAGTGGGCCACTGAGCGGCTTTCAAAAGGCCCGCTGGATGTCTGGTTTTCCCTCTGCTTCCCGTGTTTACGGAATGGAGGGGCAGTCCAGCATTCCTTGCTTGTGTGTTTCGCTAGAGCCCTCTGTGACAACCCCGTTCTCTTTGTGGGCCATCCAAGTTCCGCTGGAAAGCCGCGCTTGGCGTTCTTGCAACTCGAACAAACGAGCGTTGGGTGTTCCCTGGGAAGGGCGGTGGTTCCACCAAAGGGGTAAGGTTGTCGTCAGAAAGATGGCGCCCAAGGGACCTTGGGAAGGACCAAGGCCAAGCCCCAGCTTTTTGATTCGGCGACACCTGGAAGAGATGAGGCGAGCGGCTATGCCCCAACCGGTTGGGCTTAGTGAATGCCTACAGCTACATAAGGTCCCCCCCCCCTCCCTCCCCGGCAAAACATGGAGTGCAAGTGTACATCGAGGAAGATCATTCCCCAGCAAACTGCGATTCCGAACCCGAACTCATATGCGGACCAATGCTGAACCCCCCAAAGCCCAAACCAGGAGTTTCCACACGCACTGTCTTGAGCCCACCTCTCCCCCTTCTGCTGATGGAGCCGGCACTTCTCTCACTTGTCAGGAGCTCTCAGCGCTGGCGAAGCGCCGCGGCGTCCGCGCGGGGGGGAAGAAGGCGGGAGCGTCTTGTGACTTACTCGCCCAACAAATGAGCCCGGCAGAGGGTGGCGAGAGGAAACTGCGGGCTCCAGGTGGTTTTTTCTTGTTGGAGGGTAAAGAACCAGAAGCCGCTTCGAGGCAGAACAGAAAGGAGTTCAAGCAGAAGGCCCTGAGAGAGGTCCTGTTCAACACGAAAGCTTTGGCCTTTTTGGTTGGGAGTTTGAAAAGGGAATGAACAACAAGTGGTGAGTGGCCACAAATACCCATGCACATGATGTGTATCAAAGGGTCTCTAGTCAAAATTCATACCCAAACCGGTGTGCCCAAGAATTGAGTTGCTGTTTGTACAGTGGTGATCTTCATTTGGGTTTCCCTTCAAAACCAAGCAAGCAGTGGCTCCTCCCCCCAAAAAAAGGCTGGGAACCCAGATCCTCCTCTTTTGGGTGGTTTCATTGGTTGGGTAGCCCTCAGCCTTGGACAAATCTTGAGAACGGCCCAGTGATTCCAGTTTCCTCTTCTATCAATTCCGTTCTCTTGCTATGGAGTCCCAAAGTGGGGGTGGTCCAGCCTTCAACTTCAAATTCTCACTGAACATCAGAAATTACCCCACCGACGCTTCCATGGAAGTGCCTGCAGACCCTGCAGAAAGACGACTTTCCTCTTGGGAAGCGGGTGTGGTGACTTCCATGGAGGTGGGAGGGCAAGACGCATTTGGGGTACCATGAGGCGGAGCTGTTGCGGCGCATGCAGAAGTGGGAGCGGGAGAGATCCAAGACCCAGCCCAAGGAGCGAAGGGGAGGATCCGGAACCCAAGCTGAGGGGCGCGACGGGGTTGGCCGAGCCATTTCCCATTTTTCCTTGGTGGCTCCCAGCCATCCCCTTAGCTTTTTTTAGCTTTTGAGCTTCTTGGCGTTAGTGGGGTGTTCCATTTCAAAGTTCAGCATTCTAGCGGGAGATCTGAGGACAGCCCAGCTTTGGACCCTCCCAAAGCGGCAGTAAACTGCAACCTTAGAAATCCAGTGAAAGGGCTTGCCAACTTCTGTCAGGAAATCCCAGATTCGGCCGCTTGCCAAAAAGTGGGTCCCGAGGTCGCCTTTCGGTCATCCTCAAACTTACGAAAGGCGATTCCCTTCAGGCTGTTTTTCCTTCAAGTGCCCTTTGCTGCACAGACTCCGAACCAAGGTGTAGTCAGTTGTGGTTGGAAGGGAATCTATATATCAGGGTTCCCTAAGGTCAGGGTTCCTGCGGTCAAACATAAACAAGTGAACTTGCTTTGATGATGGTTGATCACGTGGCCACTTCTCGCTGCCACTTTCCGTGAAAACCCAAGTCGCAAACAGAGAGACATTCAGTAGTAGTGGTTGGATGGAAATCCACCACTTCAGTATCACTCACAGAGTGGTGGTACCCCTTTGAGCCCTGAAAGGAAACATGCCGTGACAGGTACACCTTCAATGGAAGTTGACTCCCCGAGATTCACCAGGATTTTTTCCCAGATCCCCCAAAAGCCCGGGGGTGCTTCATGTAGCCCCCATAAAAGGAGTGTCCTTCGGGCGTGCTCTCGGGCTACGTTAGACCTGGACGAGTGCCGTGCCGAGGAGCCGAAGGCGAAGCCGAAGCCGAAGCCGAAGGCGAAAGAGGCGACGTTTTGTGGGCAGACGGGCGGTGTCGTTGGGATCTCTCTCTCGAAATTGGGTTTCGAAAATAGGTCCTCGTCTTGTCTTGGGACCTTTTTATTTTATTCTTTGGAATTGATTCAAAGGGAAACCACCAGGAACATCACGGATTTGGTTTGGTTTGGGTTGCAGAGATTGGTTCAACGCGCGGCACATGGCGCCAGGGACACCTCCCCCGTGGATTTTTGTTTTTTGCTTTTCGTTGGATTCCAGGGATGGAGATTGAAAAAGGAGCTGAGGAGCGGCACGGCCTGAGATCGATTTGGAAGCTATGCCGATTCTGTCCCCAGTTGGCTTAGTCAGCCCCTTTGCCCACATGGTAGTTGTGCGATACTTTCACCCTCGCCTTGCTTGGGGGGTTTCGGGGGGTCAAACGCCGCCCAGGAGCGGGCGAGGCACGCGATGCCAGAGTCCCCGCCGGACTTTGCTGAGTCCCCGTGGCTTGGCCGTGGAAGTAGCATCACATCTTGGACGTGGTACCCTTCCAAAATTCATGGAAGTGTGTAGGAGGGTTTGGAAACAGAAAGAGACGCTACACGGGCCCCCTATTTTGCCGCGCGTGCAAAAAGACTGGGATTCCGGAAGTGTGATGCAAAGCTACAAGAATCTGCCGGCGCCCCGCTCCGTTTGTAAAACATTATCTTAAAAAGTGCCCTGTCCACTTTCTCGATTGTTGGAAAGAGGGTAATATCGACCCCGGATTGATGGCCCTGGGGTATACTACACGGACCCTTGACTGTTAGGGCAGCACCCTATGCGGCAGGTTCATGAATCCAGGGTGAACACTACACGAAACTCTCAACATGGACACCGCCCATTTCAGGGCTTTTACCCCCTCCAATGGGTTGCCCCAAGGGAGATTTGGCTGTGGGTCAAAACCAATGGTACCATTTTGGGGTAGGTGAACCACCCATTTTTGAACCTATTTTAGTGGGGATTGGGATGTTCACTGGGGGTGAGGGGTTTTTCTCTCCATGCGCATGCGCGCCGGTTCGCACCCAGGCGAGGAGACGCGAGCGAAACATCGCTGCCCGCCGGCAGCCCAAGGGGCTTGTGTTTGGGATTGTGGCAAAATAGGCACCACCAATCTGCACCACCCTCACCAAGATAGCTTTAACTTGGTTGTTCTTTGATTTGACCTTTAACCGTTGGTTTCTTGGGAAAATGATTGTTCTCCCCACTAGAAGAAGAAGCTCAACTTTCAGCCGGTGAAAGACCAACCCAGCAAACAGCGGCTTGGTCAACATGTTGGAAACAGGTTGCAACGGAGATGTTCAGTCCGTGATTTGATCTCTTGAATTGATTGGTTTACACAGGTTTTTCGGGAATGTTGCGATGTTGTTTTGAGAGCTATCCCGATTGCAAGAGGTTGACATTTGTTGATGAAGTTATGGAACTTGCTTTTCAAGTAAATTTTGCAAAACCGAGGCACTCGTTTTTCGTTTTTGCGAAAATAAAAGCGGAGCATTTCGGAGGGATCTTTCAGAGGGCTGTCTTCCCTTTTCTGCATGGTGGTAAGTTGGGCTTTAGGGCCACTTTCTGTGACGAGGGGATTTTTTTCGATGTCCACCCATAAATCCTCCCCCCTTGAGGAAAAGCGGAGTTTGGTCACCAGTCCTCTCCGGTCCTCCCGGACCCAATAGAAGAGGAGGGTCAGGCTGGAGAGGGCCAGGATCAAGGAGGGGTAGTTTCAGGTTATTGAGTCTCACTCCCCGAGTTCATGGACTCCAAGCAATTGGAAAGACAATTTTAGTGGTGAATGTGGAGTTCAGACTTTTGGAAGTGAGGAGTGGGTTTGGCCTTGAATGGGGGACCCTTTGCGAGCTTGTCAAACCTTGTTTTGTTTTTAATGTTACAAGACATTTGCTGTTTCCGCTTCGAAGACTATGACGGGAATTAGCACTGGCAGAGAATTGGCAATGGCATTCGTAGTCAGTCTAAACTTGTGTTTATTGCATTTTTGGATTGGGGGGGAGGGTAGTTCGGGGGGGTGGGCGTGTGCCGAAAATGGATTAAGGGTTGTGTGCCCCTTCAAAGTAATTAGTATTGGCTGGCATTGGTGGGAAAATGGGGCAGTCTTGCACGCTGAGAATCAACCAATTTGGTATCAGAAAGGCTATTTTCCACAACTGGTTCTGACTGGGTCTTGCCTAACATCCCCCCCAACCTCGACCGTACGGCCCAAGGCAGCTCAGGACCCATCAGCCCCAAGAATTGACCCAGCGTTTCTGGCGCTTTGCCGAGCCCTCTGCCCCCCTCGCGTCTGTTGCTTGAGGCTGAAAGCTCCAGCCAGGGCTCGGGGGCCTGCAAGGTTTCCAGCGGCCATTAGGGCGGTGGTTTTTTGGAGGGTACCCAATTTTGATAGGCTCAAAGGGAAGCCATTTTGGGGTGCCCATGGCACAGAACTAATGGGGTGAGTTATGTCAAATCGGCGTTTTGGTTTCCGTAAGGTCCATGTCGGACGCGTAAGTTTCAGCCACCCACCCGGACACTCAGACACATGTGGGTGGTCATGACGGGTCTTGAACAGCACGTCATTCGACACCCCTTTATTTGGGGATCATGAAAATCCCCTAAACAAAGTTTTGCACCAGCGCAAGGTTTTCCATGGGACTCCGCGACAACATGGCCTTGGTGGGAGTTCAGATTGAACGCCTGAAAAGCAAATCGGGGGCGGTTGGTTGGCTCAACGGGTGTCCGGTGAATCTTTGGCATCTTTGGCCAAGCTGACGGAAGGGAGCCTTGATCTCTTTTTCACACCCTACGCTTCCCCGCGTACTGCAGTTTGTATAGCTTTTTGGCCATTTGAGTCGCCTTCGCACTGCATTTCAAGCATTGAGGCTCAGATGTGTTCGCAAATCCTTCATTTTGTCAAATTGGGTTTAAGCGGTCGCGTGACAAAGGCTGCGGCGGAAGAAGAAAGCACAAGAGACGTCCAGATTTGGGTGGCCGTTTTGGGTTCGATTGAAGGTGCTGGGTGTTTGGTTCGGTTTCGTCGGGCGCCCCCCATGGGTGAGACGTGGTGAGCCGAGGTATCGAGCAGCTTCCGCTGGCGGAGCTCCGGAAGGCTGAGCCGGGAGGTCTCTGGGCAAGTCGCGGTGTCGCGGTGCGGCCCCGATTTGAACTTCATCCAAGTGGCTTTCCTGTATCGTGGGTTTCCTTTTTAAAGGGGGATCCTCAAAAAAATGGCTCCTGGCCTCATTTGCTGAGCACCACCAACTTGTGTTGTTTCAATCTTCTGAAGGGTAATTACTCCCTTCAAAAGAGAATTCAAAAGGGAGAACCATCCTATTGTCTCTTTTTTTTGCGGGGGGAATCCATCAAAACCAAAAGGGAGAAAAGGGAGAACCATCATGTTGTTTTTTTGGGGGAATCCCTCAAAAATATTCACCCATGTATGCTTCTTGGTGTAGCTTGCAGCCTCGCCATTTATGATCCTTAGCGATATTCGAGGTACAAACGTGTCGCCCTCACAAGGAACCAGCAGCACTTTGGAAGGGCGGGGTGTTCTTCTTTTCTTCCCATTTGTGGCCGATCCCATTTCTCTCCCTTTCTTTGGTCTGCTGTCAGCGGGATTGAATCCAGCCCGGAGTCCTGTGGTGTTGGGGGTTGCACGAGAATGCGAGCGCCTGGAAGCTGGGCCCCACGCCATTCGCTGCCCTTCGAGGCCGGGAGTGACCCCTTGGTGGTTGAATTGTTTGACCCTTCAGTTTTTGGCCCAAGCACCAACCTGGCTTGAGCAGTGGAGTCTAGTGACCGTAGTTCCCTGCCATAGCCGTAGCATGTCAGAGGTGCCTCGTAAATGCCTGCGTTATGTGGAGTTCAAGGTGCGCGACCAACAAAATTCACCGGGTGGATTGGTGAAGACAAAAGTGTTTGGCGCACAGAATGGTCAGCATGCACTTGAAGTGCAGCTGTGCGGCGAAGTCAGTGCCAATCTGCCGGACCACGCGAACTTGCACCTGCACTGGGGATTTCTGCGCGAAAAGGGATCCTTTGCTTGGACTCGGCCAGAGAACATGTCATGGCCAATGCCAAGCTGGGCCGCCGAGCCTGAAGCCGTTCAAACGCCTGCGTCTTGGATTGGGAAAAAAACATGGCATTTAGTCGTGTTTATTTCCATTCACATGATGCCGAAAGGCTTTGCCTTTGTTCTCAAAATGGATCAGAACCGCTGGTTTAAGAAAGGGCCAATGGCTGGACCGGATGACTGCGTGATCAGTCTGGAAGGACTTGGCTTGGGCCCTAGCTGGACCCCACAGCCTGAACATGCTCCATCCCGGACTGCCAGTTTTTCTTCGCTGTCCTCCGCACTCACACTCTCGAGCTGGTTCGTCGTGGATGGCAACCAGTGCTTCTTGCCGACCGCGGCCTTCCTCAACGCGGATCGCAGCGGTCTGACGTTCGTGAGCGAGTTGCGGGAAGGCTCTGAGGTGCGCTCGGTGGACGATGAGGTCGTGACGGTCACATCCATTCTGGAGCATCCAGAAGCCCGGCGTGAGATCGTGGTGCTGGTGACGAGACATGGACAGCTCAGGGTTACCAAGGATCATCTGATTCCAGTGAGGGTCACGGGGTCGACGGAGATTGTGCGGAAGCCAGCAGGGCGGATTCAGCTCGACGACCTGGTCCTCATCAACAACGCGCCCTCCCCGGTCAAGAAGTTTAGGGAAGATTCGTTGAAGACAAGGCTCTTTGCCGTCTGCTTTGACAACCCCAACACTCGGGTTGCAGTGTACGATGTCTCCACCAGTCCCATTCAGGCATACGGAAATCCCAACATAGAGGATCCAGCTCAGAGGACGGCCTTTGAACATTCATTGGACTTATTCAGTGAGGCTCAGCTGCGTCAGGCCGAACCTGGGTCGTATCATGATTGATCCGGGGAGGTAGTGCCAGGTAGTGTTGACTCTTCATGTCGTGCGCAATTGATTTTCAGATTTCGCGCTGCGGGACATGCCTAGGAGCACCTGCAAATGACCTCACACGTCCTGATTATGGGTCACCATCCGGCGTGGCTATGGTCTGAGCAGGATGCCATTTTTGCTGCGCGCAAAAGACAACTCAGCTGGAATTGCATCTCTTTCGTGATTGTGTTAGTCCTTTACATGGTGAAGACATGAGACAGAACATGTCAAAGAGAGCGTCTCGATTTCTGGTATCAGTCCGGACAAGTGGCCAAATTATGGTGTCAGCCTTATCATTTTGTCCAAGGACGGTCATTTGGTCAAAACTTGCATCACCAAACGGCCAAACATTTTTCCCGCCAGAAATCCTTCCGCCTGGCATCCTTCAGGCCTGTGAGGATTTGGGCATGGCCACGGACGGCGGCAAGGAGGCGAGTTGTTGTTTTTTGTTTGTTTGTTTTTTTTGGGGGGGGGAGGGGGGGGAGCAAAAGGCATTTCAGGCAGGGTTTTTTGAGGCCAGGTTTACCTTTTACGGGGATTAGGATTAGGGCACTTGAATAAGTGGTAAATGACCTCCACTCCAACAGTCTGGGAAATCAAACATGCCTGGAATCAAGTCTACCTGTAGGCAAGCACAAGATGGAACCTGGTCAGGTAACCCTTAATCTGCGGTTTGGATTGGTGGCTTGTGGAATTGAACCCCAGTCCCCCTTAAACACCCCTAGCTCCAGGAAGCTACAAGGGCACGTGTCAAAATAGGGGGATCCTATGATGGTTTCCCCTTTTGGTTACCTGGTTTTCCGACCCAATCCCAAAAAGAATGCCCTCACCAGAGCAAGCGCGCACACAACTCCCATGTGTAACAAAAATACGGGGTCCTTCCGAATGTTGATAGCTTCTTTATCAAACCCGCAAGCAAGCGCGTGGCTCCGCTTGCCGCTTTTCCCACAAGAGTCATAGCTCTTTTGCATCTCGGGTGATCCTCAAGATGGGTGGCTTCCCTTGCTTCCCCTCAAAAGCCAACCCCAAACAGGGTGCACACAAAACAGACGCTCTCGCCAATTTCGGCTGTGAAGCGTGACCGCGAGTCATGCGTTTTTTTCATTCCAATATCGCTTTGCTCTTGGGGCACCCTGAAGACCATGGTTTGGGTGTGGCTCAAAAAACCGGTACCAAAATGGAACCCTGGTAAGTGGAAACATGGACCAAAACCTGCGTAACCCCTCCTGTTTAATTTTGAGCCACACCCATTTGGGTGTTTTCATGTTTGCATTTTGGATTCAAGCATGAACAGACCTGGAAGAAAACATGGCGACCTCCTCACGGTGTTGAAAGGGCACCATGGAACCAGCCGGTTTCTGGGGGGTCTCCTATTTCATTTGGGGTCTCCGATTTCAATCGTTCTTGTTTTTGGGGGTCGCTGTGAACCCCGCTATGCGTCATTGCATTCGCATTGCCATTGTTCTTCAACCATACTTTAGCAGCTCGTTTTGCCGGGTGCTGTCATTCGAGTAGTAGTATGGCCAAGCCGCACCAGCAAGAGAGATCTTCCACTAAGATGGTCCGGAAACTGATCTTCAGGTACCATTTCTCCCAAAGGTGTCATGGGAGGAAGGGTAGATGCTAGCTCGGTGAAGGATGATATGTTTGCCCCATCGCTAACGTTGACATGATAGGAACGACTGGGTTTGAGGTGCGTCGTTCCGACGCCCGCCTCGTTCTTCGGCCGTGCAGGCGCTGCTGAAGCGCCTGGCGATGTATGCAGACAGCGCCCGGGCCTCGGACGGGGGTCTGGGGTCGGCTAGCGCGCACGGCGGCTTCGGGAACTTGGCCTTTGGGGTTTTGAAAGGATTCAAAGGGGCAAAGTGGGGCCCATGTTTGCGGGGGGGTCCAACTATATCAATATTTCCCTCTTCAATTGGGTGGTGTAAGCAGCGCTTCTTTTGGGGGTGATGTTTAAATGGAGAAAAGGAAAGGATAACCGGAAGCTGCGTTTGACCTCTGCGATGAACGTAAAAGTTTTTAAAGGCCAAGAGAACTGAGTAGGGTGTCCCTCTCTTTCCCCAACTCATGGAAGAGGTGGCGTCTCAAGCTTCGGAGATGGGAGATTCCGGGCAAGCAACGCAAGCGTTCTGAATTTCTGGCACCAGCCTTTGATCTTGCTGAGCTTGTTGGATATGTGGGTCATGATCTCTGACATGAGGCTCCTCCACATGCCGAGTGTTGTCTATAGTCACAAGTTGTGCGCGATTTGGCTACCTGTGCTGTATGCCGTTTTTAGCCGTTGTTCCTGATAGGGAACATTCTCGAAGTGTTTTTTGTACAGTCCGCAACAAGGTCCTCCCTCCATTAAGTTTTTGAGGAGAGATCAGAAACTATGGGCAAATTCCCAAGCCTGGGCCCAACGGGGGAGTGGGCAAATGGCTTTGTCAGGCTATGACACCGCCCATGACGCAGAGCCAGAACTTCGGCGCTTGCCTCGGCATGTGTCGAGCGAGCTCACTTGGGGGTAGCGAAAGCAATGATAATGGGATATGCGCACGCGCGCGCGTGCGCGCGTGCGTGCGTGGGTGGGTGGGTGTGTGTGTGTTTTGCTTGTGTTTGGCTGGTTTGGGTTGGCGTTTTTTGTTGGGTTTGTTTGTGAGGGTACCCTCTTCAGGTTGATTTCAAGGAAGCCAACCGAACCTGCGCCATTTTTGGGGGCCATTTGGCCATGGCGAGCCGATGGCTTTGGCCCCGAGCATGTGAAAAGAGACGGGCGGAGCCCTCCAAATGGAGCCATAAGCGGCCCTGAGACAGGGAGTCTGACCCCGATTTAAACCGGGTGGATGGAGTTTCCTTTATTCGGGAACTAGTTTTCTTACTGGTTTTCGAAATGGATTCTGGTTTTCTCACTGATGGTTTCCTTTATTCAAGAATCCCCTTCCGGTTCATTCCCTCATTCCCTGAGCACCAGCAAGTTTTAGTGGTTGACCCGTTCACTGCGGTCCAAAACAGGGATCTGAAACTTTGATCCGTTCGAAACAGTTCCGTTTCGTCACAGCTGAGGCACTCAGGTGGATTCTCAGCCAGGCCGGCATCGGCATCCGCACGGTTTCGAAGTGTGTGTGTGTGTGCGCGTGATGCGGCTGAAGCATCACCTCTTTGTTGCCACGGTTTATTCTTGACTGTTTCTGTTCGGACATAGACGAAGGAACCCTGTTGGGAGCTTGCTTGCTGAAATCAGGTTTGGCCCCCCTGAATAGTGAGCCAGTGTGACGTGCGCTCACTTGAAATTGGCGAGACAAGCGGCCAAACGCGTGGGACACGTTTCGTGCATGGTGAAAGTGGCGCGTAAGAAGCAAGCCTGGAGTGGCCAGCCTTTTTGCCCTTCCCAAGGCTGACTCACGACTATGATTCTTAAGAGTTGGAACCTCACAAGTGGTTGGTAGACATGAACCACCACCAAAGGGTCCCCAAGTAACACTTAGCTTGCCACCGCATGTTTTGACCTCTGAGTTTGGTTCCGCCAGGTGGCAATCTCGCATTACCGCCTGAGAGCCAGCCAGCAGGCCGGTCGTCGCATGCCCAAGCGTGCTGCGGAAGAATTGGATGTGACTAAGGTTCCCCTTTTTAGGATGGTTTGAAGGGGCAGCCAAAGAGAAACAACCATTTTGAGGGTATTCCAAAGGGAAGAGGCCATTCACCTCGTCCTGGACGAATGCCGTAGTTTGATCAGTCCATCCAGCTGGATTTCCTATGGCGGATGGCCTCTACCAGAGCGGATGCCCTTTGCGGAACTCCACCTCCCCCTCCGTCCCCCGCGTTGCTTTGCCTTGGGGCGGGGCGGTGCAAGGTCCCACGGTAGTCCCCGCGGTGCAAGGTCTCCGGGGCGGTTCCACGTTAGTTTGGAAGGTCTCACGGTATCCTTGTTTCGAGGGGCGACCACCATGGGCAAACTTCCAAGACGCGTCCTTTGAGCAAGACAGGCGACCTCTCGTTGCCGCCAGACAGCCAGCCTGCAGGCAAAGGGCGGGCGAAGTAACCTCGACCCCGGAGTGAGACATTTATAGGGGAGTTCCCCATAAGGGGAGGCAGATGCTGATGACATCCCAGTCGTTCAGCAGGGCTCTTTTCTTCCGGCCAGTTTTCCCGGGATGTTGCTTGTTGAGAGTATCCTTTTTGGGGTTTCTTGAAATGCACATCAAAGGGAAGCAGGGAACTTTCACCGTTTTGAAACACCCCTAGTTGGTTTCCCACCGAAATGGGCGATCTTCCCCCCCCCATAGCTACTGTGGATGGACGAAATCCTGCACCACTTTGAAACCATGAGAAACCATTGTTTGCTGGTCTTTGCAGGGGAATCGAATCCTTCCCTTGGGTTTCTCAGGTGGTGCGAAATGGATTTCGCAACCATCCACAGCTAGTTGGACGTGTTTTATTCCTGTTTTGGTCCTGCTGACTTGGCATTTTTTTTTGCAAAAGCCGCCGAGGGGCGTGGGCCTCAAACCCTCGACGCCGTTCAACACCCTAACCCTATGTGTCCACCACAGAGGGGAATTCCCGAAAGTAGTGGCTTCTGGTTGGCTTCCCTTTGAACAACCAAAGATGGATATCAACCAAAACACACACACACATCCACTAGGATCGGTCTTAGACTGGGACCCTGAGAAGTAGTTATGATGATTGTTGGTGAGTTGCCCGAACACTCCCACAATTTTACTCCCACTGCCCACAAGTTCATGTCCATGTGACCCACCTGCGACCGCTAGGCGTGAGAAGGAGCTTGCCCAGGGAGACTGAAGGCCGGGCCTCGAAGCTCGGGTGGACCCGTGGACCCGGGGAGAGTCGCTTGAACTCCGTGGCTTGCGGGGAATGGCCTCCGTATTTGTTGGGGTGTGTGCAAATCCATGTGTTGCTTGTGAGAGGCTCTAGGAAGTTGCGGTGACAGTTTTTGGGGTGTAAGTCCATTGCATCACTTCAGGGTTCTATGTGGGTTCTACTCTCAAGAGGCCTTCACTCACGGAGACTTCCGTTTATCAAGCTTTGGGTTTCACGGGGCCTCCGAGGGATTGGAACGAATCGACCCCTTTGAGCCTTTGAGTTGGTATTGTCCAAATCCCAGCGGCCGAGTGGCTGGTCTTTTGTGCGGCTCGGTACACGGATTTGTTTGGTTTGGTTTAAAACGACACCAACAGCCATAAAGTGGCAGCTGGCGAGCTAGCGAAGCTTTTGCCTCGCTGTTTTTGCGCCTCCCAAGCTAGCTTTCCGCGAGATTGATGGTAAGGAGTCAGTGAGTCGTGCTGGCATTCCATGTCATGTTGCTGGGCAATGCAGGGCAAGCCGGCCAAAGTTCCCAGTATTGCGGAGCTTCGAGCAAACAACAACTTGGGGCCTCTTAAACCTCCTTAAGACCTCCAAACAGACATTGTCCCCCAAGCAAGCAACTGAACCTGACAGGACACCGTGCGTTTAGAGGAATCTATTTTTGGGAACCCCGTGTGTGTCGTTTGCGTCGTTCATTCGCATGGGGGGAAAACCTCCAGATGTCCACCGTTTCTTTGGAAGGCCCAGAGCTGATGCCCCCGCCGGAGGTGGGACCTGAGGGTGGATCTTGCGGGTCCTTTTGAGACTGCCTCATTCGAAAGATGTGGCTGTGGGTCAAAACCAATGGGATCCCATGTTGGGGTAGGTGCAACCAATCTTAGTCTATTTTAGTGGGGGTTGGGATGTTCACTGGGGCTACGGGATTTTGACCCATGGCCATGCAGGTTGATCCTCTAGAGATTGAAAAGAGATTCTGGTCCGATTTGCTCTGGGGTCGCTAATCGACTACCTTGGATAAAAGTCATGGGTTTCTCCCCGCAAAATATCTCTTGGATCAAGGTGGCCCCTTTGAGACGACCTCAGTAGACCAATTATATGGGTTCCATCCCCAGAGACAAACATGTATGAAGGTATGCTGTTCTTTTTTTAACCGTCTTCGGCAAACGGACCCAGCCCTGGCCTTGCGGAGACGTCGAACCCGACCTTTGTCAGGCACCTAGGGATTCTGTAATGATTCTGGCAACTTGGAGGATTTGTTTTCTTCTTTTGCGGGCGTGGAACCCGTTTTGGGGCGATTTAACATGGTTTCCTACTTTGACACACGCACACACACCCAAAGCAAACTTTGTGGCTGGTCATTCCTTCCCATGTTGAATCCCTTGGAAGCCAAAAGGAAGCCCACCATCGCGGGGTTTGGGGGGGGCATTTCCTGCTTTGAGACGCACCCATGTGTTCAGCCATGCGGGCGGACGCCGCGATGTCGGACCAGGTGCCACGCAAGAGGGCGCGCACGGCCGCGCCAGCAACCAGAGCTGAGACTCCGACGAGGAACGAAGGGAGATTCGTTCCGTGCCAGGGAGGGCACCGTCGATTTGAGCTCCGCGGTCGGCAACTTGAGCCCGGTCGTTCCGTGGATTCCACATGTTTCCCTTCTTGTTTGGTGGGTTCTCCTCTAGAAATGGTGAAGCGAACGTCTCAAAATCAAAAGGTTTCTTTCACTTCCTGAGTTCATGAACTTTAAGCTTTTTGGGAAGGCCGTTTTTGTGGTACATATAAAGTTTGGACTTTGTTGGGCCATCCACTCAGCCAGCGAGCTCTCGCTGGCTGCCTTTTGGGGTCACCGGTTGCAGCGGGACCGGAGGACCACCCATCATCTCATCCACGACCTCAGCGCCCTCACGGTGAAAGAGCCTGGGGCCTCGATGACTGGTCGGCCCCGGTGCTTTTGGGCGGATGTTTCTTGTATCCCCTGTGGGATAGGGAGAAGCACCATCTAGCTTTTGGGTTGCCATGGTGAAAGGGACTTTGTTTTTTATGTCTCCAGGGACATGTGTGGCTGACACGTGTATGTTTGGCATTGAGGGGTTGTCAAAATTGTGGACTCCGACACCTTTGGGGACCCCTTTGAGAGGCTTCAACTGTCACCAGGGTCCCCCAAAACATCCCAACCCACGCAAGCCTTCTGCTTCGGTTGGATATCTGATAGGTTTTTTGCAGATGTCTTCTTGGGCTGTTGGCCTAGGACACGTGCGTTTGGTTCAAGGGCCCCCTGGTCGCCACCAGCTCACCTCAACCCCACGCCCCCCGCCCCCCTCAACCGCCCAATGCGCAACGCATCGAGGCTGCGGCAGGCGTGCAAGGACCGGAGCCTGCCTGCCCACGGCGCGAAGCCCGACCTCGTGGTGCGGGGCTTGGCCCGGCCGGGGCGCTTCGGCTTGCGGGGCTGGGGCTGGGGAAGGGGAAGGGGGAGGGGGAGGGGGAGGTTCTAAGGGAAGAGGGGTTCTCCTCGTGTTTGGAGTTCATTTCTTTTGTTGCTGTTTTTTGTTTGGGGGGTGTTCGAAGGGGGCCAGGGTTGACTCGGGCGTTGGCCATGTTTGGCATTGAAAGCGAGGAATCGATCCTCACTGGCATTGGTTTCTTGGAGATCGCACTTAAGATTTGGTCAGTGATTTTGTTTTTGAGGGAGAGCTTCGCAAATTCATAGAATGGGAACACTCGTCGATTCTTACCGCAATGTGGGTGCCCAGAGTTGGACTCCTATTCTGGTTTTGCGAATCCGGGATTCCGGAAGTCGGAGTGAACCGCCACAGTGGTTGGTGTTATCAAACCGTCCAAGGGTCCAATTCTTTCGAGACTCTCTATGGAGAGCTTGGTGTTTCTTGGCCTGGTGGATCCCCCCAAAATGGTGTGTGTGTGTGCTTTGCATTTGGTTCCCCTTTAAGTCAACCCCCTCCCAAGCTGAGTCTGTCCTTGTTTGATGCTGGGTTTTGGCCCTTCAGGAGCGCCTGGCGGAGGCAGAACGCCTCGCACAGGCGGAGCAGGCGGGCAAAAGACCGCGAGACAAGTCGCTTGACAACTCGATCGCGCGTGTTCAACTCGCGAGTTACTTGGGGGTAAACTCTGGTTGGTCAAAGATAGTAGTTCCCTTTGTTTATGGCCTTTGCCTTAGCGATTCCTTGATTCTGGGTTGGTCAAAGATATAGTAGTTTGTGCGCCCAGAATCTATTATTTTTAATGTCACTTTGAGCTAAGGTGCAATTTCTGAGGTAGACGAGGGGGCAGCTTCCGTTGTTTTCCTGCAGTCGATTTGGCAACCACCCAACGCATACCCCGTGAAGAAAGTGTGTTGCAATTGCCTAGGTGATTCTGAACATGTTGCAAGTAGGGAACCAATCTTTAGAGAAGCGCCCGCCATGTTTCGTAGCCGTGAAGCGGCTCCCATTGCAAGGCAAAATGGCCGACCTATTCGATTCTCAGTGGTTTTGGGCTTTCACACAATTTGTCTCACAGAGTTGCCAAGTGGTTCGGGTTCGAGAGCTGTTTTTCAACTGGGTACAGCCGCCTTGAGTTTGCTTTTGATGAGTTCTTGGACTTTAACACTTGTTGGGAAGACCATTTTAGTGGTAAGCCAAAAGTTTGGACGTCTTTGGGGCCATCTACTCAGTACTCAGGAAGTGGCTGTGGGTCAAAACCAATGGGATCCCATTTGGGGGTAGGTGCACCACCCATTTTAGAACCTATTTTAGTGGGGCATTGGGATGTTCACTGGGGGGGCTTTTGACCCATGGCCATGTGAGTATTTGGGGCACACCCTGTCACATGGTGTGAAGAAGCCAAGCGACCCACCTGAGACCATCACACCGTTCGTGTTGAAAGGACCGATCCGAATCTGAACGGCTGCCATCGGAAAATGTATGGAAGGCCGGAAAGTTTGTCTTTTTGGTGCGATAGGCAGGGAATGAGAAATGGAAACCATCCACCTGATGGTTTCCTTTAAGGGACCGCTGGGTTCATGCCCCCATTCCCTACTCAGCACCAGCAACTTGTTTTGGGGGAGTAACCCCTTACTAGGGCCCTGAGGGATCCTTGAAAATGAGGCGTCCTGTTATTTTCGCTATGACGACCCAACGGGATTCTTACACACCAGCGGCAAGGGTTTCCATTGGTTACCCAAAAAAGCCAACCTAGAGGTTACCGTCCATTGCCTCAAAGCCATCCATTGGCTGTGCCAGAGGCTAACTGCAATCCATTGGTTAGCCTACACATGAGTTAGAATCTGCCGGAGTCCATGATGTCTGGAAAAGCCATCTGTGGTTACCTAGCAATAGAGATCCATTCGTTACCGACCCTACAGGGGCTGTGATAAAGCGGCTCCAGCTCAGGACAAGCATGTGTGAGCATCCGAAAGAAACCCACTTGTCAGACCCAATTTGGGTGCGTCTTTTGGTTGGTTAAGAGGGGCCCACCATTTTTTGGGTTCGTATACTGGAGAAATAAACACCCCATTTAGGGGGTGTGACCCGCTCACTCAGGCGCCATCGCCCAGCCCGGGTCTTTGGGTGCCACCTACCAGGCCCGGCGCGGCATTTGGGTGGGATGGGTGGGGCTTGGGGTTTGGCGTGGGGGTTGGGGAGACGACACCCGAACTGAGGCGCCGGCCGCTAGGGGGCGTTGTGTTCTGATTTTGTCGTGTCGTGTCGTGTCTTTGTCTTTGTCTTTGTCTTTGTCCGTCTGTCTGCCTGCCTGCCTGCCTGCCTGTCGGTCTGCCTGCCTGCCTGCCTGTCTGCCTGCCTGCCTGCCTGCCTGCCTGTCTGCCTGCCTGTCTGTCTGTCTGTCTGTCTGTCTGTTTGTCAGGTCTGGTCTGGTCTGGTCTGGTCTGGGCTGGTCTGTCTGGTCTGGTCTGGTCTGGTCTTGTCTGGTCTGGTCTGGTCTGGTCTGGTCTGGTCTGGTCTTGTCTTGTCTGCCTGTCGTTTCTTGTTTGTTTGTTCTTTCTTTTTGTTTTTTCTGTGTGTTTTTTTCTCTCTCTCTCTCTCTCTCTCTCTGTGTGTGTGTGTGTGTTTGGTTGGTTGGTTGGTTGGTTGGTTGGTTGGTTGGTTGGTTGGTTTTGTTTGTTTGTTTGTTTGTTTGTTTGTTTGTTTGTTTGTTTGTCTGTTCATTCATTCGTTTGTTTGTTTGTGCGTTTGTTTGTGCGTTTGTTTGTTGGTCGGTCGGTCTTTTGTTGTTATTCTTCTGTGTTCGTTGCGGTTATTTTGCGTTAGTTGGCTTCCACCAGGGAAGTTTTTTTTTTTGTAGTGAAAACACCTGCTCACGGATTTGGGAAAACACCGAGAAACCTCGCTTTGGTATCGCGGCTATCGTTCTGTTTGGAGAGTCCTGCAAAAGGGTCGCTTGGGTCAGTGGGAGAATGGATGTGTTTCTCAGCCACCAGAGACAAAGCCAACTTTGGGTATGAAAAGTTTTCAGGCACTGCTTTGCTGCCATGTGGCGTCTATCTAGGTCATGCTTTTGGGACCTGTTCCAGTGTGGAGCCTTGAACCGGGACCGGGACCCAAAGAGGGTCGCCCTTCCAACCAGTTCGCTCGCCGCACACAGCTTGCTTCTTTCCCAGGGTTGTGGGATCAAGGGTTTACCCCCACTTCTGTGATACAAGGGAGTCTCCCCCTTTATGTGGGGGGTTGGTCTTTGGGAGGCCCTTTTGGTTGTATCACAGATGTGGTCATCTTCCACAGTCCACAATCAGCCCACCCGTGAGGTCACCGCTCTGCGCTACAACGGAGGCGACTCGGGGTTCGGCGTTCGTCGTTCGGCGGCAAGGGCTGAAAGATGGGTTAGAAGCCCTGAAAGGGATCGGAGGATGGCTTTTTGGTTGGCACGAAAGGACCGGGGAGCCGACCGCGCTCGGTTCTCAAGCCAGAGGCATAAAGGTCTCTGGGATGGCGACCCTCAGTTCAGCATTTTCTGAGTACCCTTCAATTCGACACTCGATGTAGGCCTTGGGACCCCAGGACTGCGTCCCCCAAGAAGCAGTCTCGTTTTCAGGGGAAAATCGGCTTTCGGGCTTTAACTCGTTGAGACTTTGAGATCGCTACCCCGGTTTTCAGGCAATCTCCTTCCGGCCTATCCGTCCGTCAGGACCTGCATGCCGCCCAAGCGTCGCCGAGATCAGAGGCGGGCTCTCTCCAAGATGTGGTCGGGAGGGTTCAACTACCGGGATGTGACGCTCAAAATGGCGGATCCAGTGTCACGATGGGCATCAATATGAATCTTCAAACGCTTTGTAGGGTGCTGAGCTTGTTTGGACATATACCCTGGCGCAGCATCCCCTTGCCTGGTTTGGAGCTTAGGCGATAGCTTCCCCTTTAGAATCAAAAGGAACAACTGCTCAAATCCCCAAATCCATCCGCTAATTTGAACAACCAGAAGAGGGGCATGCTTTTCACCACTGGAGAAGTTCACGGATGTGGGGGAGCTTTCTAAGGCGGTAGGTACAGGGATTTGACAAAGAAGTTGCTCAGTTTCATGCATTGCTGAAATTGCACGGGGAAGATGGTTTGAAGGAGTCGTGCCTTGTCCCCAAACACATAGGAACTCATCGGCTTTTGTGAGCGCTGCTTTTAGAAGCACGCTGTATTCAGTGCTGGAATTACACAATCAGCTTGATGTCACGCAGCGTTCCAATGGAAAGGTGCTAAGGCATGACTTAGGCATGACTTAGGCATGACTTAGGCATGACTTCCTCAGAGCAGCGTTTGCATTGTGGAACACATGGCTACAGAGATAAGGAGCGACTTAGGCATGATTTTGTCGTTTGACTGTAGTCTTCTAACACCTTCCTGGGCAGCTTCCATTGAATCAGCCACTGGGATGTCGACCCTCAGTTCAACACTCGATGTAGCCGTTTGGACGGGTCCCGCAAGAAGCAGTCCTATTTTTTGGGGCGGCTTTCGGGCTTTAACTCGTTGAGACTTTGAGATCGCTACCCCGGCTTTCAGTCAATCTCCTTCCGGCCTATCTGTCCGGCAGGACCTGCATGCCGCCCAAGCGTCGCCGAGATCAGAGGCGGGCTCTCTCCAAGATGTGGTCGGGAGGGTTCAACTGCAGGGATGTGAGGCTCAAAATGGCGGATCCGGTGTCACGATGGGCATCAATATGAATCTTCAAACGCTTTGTAGGGTGCTGAGCTTGTTTGGACATATACCCTGGCGCAGCATCCCCTTGCCTGGTTTGGAGCTTAGGCGATAGCTTCTTCCCGTAGAATTAAGAGGAACAATTGTTCAAGTCCCCAAATCCATGAACTTTGGCAGGGGGAAGCCTGTCCTTTTCCCGTGGATGGGGGTTTCCGTCTAAAATTCAACAAGCAGAAGAGGGGCATGTTTTTCACCACTGGGGAAAGTACCCTTTTCCAACAATCATGGATGTGGGGGATGACAAAGATGTTGCTCAGTTTCATGCATTGCTGAAGTTTCATGTAAAAGAATATTTTGAAGAGGGCATACCTTTCCCCTCCCATTCAAAGTGCGGCCTTGGACGAAAGCCTGCGTGGCGGCACAAACCACCTCAGCCAAGCATCAATGGGAGTAGCCGAAGTAGGCGCAAACGCATAGGAACTCATCGGCTTTTGCGAGCACTGCTTTTAGAAGCAGGCTTTGCTGAGTGCTGGAATATCATGGGCTTGCCATGTCAGCAAAGGTGCAAGTTGAGGGGAGCTGCTGGGCGTCTCGTGTCAATCCGGGCTGCTGAGGGTCTCTTTCCTCGTGTTGATCTCGTTTTGGATCCCGCGTTTTTTTTCCTGCCATCGAAACAGCGATTTAGACATGCATTAGTCACATTACTTGGTGTGGAGCAGTGTACATTAATCAATGTCATGATTTCTGACTACTTTACATGCATCATTTTCTCAACCGAGGCTTGCTTTCCACGCAGGAAAGGTCGAAAGGCGAAAGGCGAACGGCGTGGCTTTGTGAAAGTGGCTATCCACACACAGCTCGCTTGAAACCCCATTTTTTGGCAACAAGCGTTTTCGTGGGCAATCTGCGGGGTCGGAAAACAAGCCTGTTACTCATGTGCGTTCCATCGGGTTTTCGATTTGTTGCGTCATACAATTTTACACAATCAGCTAGATGACATGCATTGTTCCAATGGACAAATGCTAAGACATCACAGCATGACTTAGGCATGACTTAGGCATGACTTAGGCATGACTTAGGCATGACTTAGGCATGACTTAGGCATGACTTAGGCATGACTTAGGCATGACTTAGGCATGACTTAGGCATGACTTAGGCATGACTTCCTCAGAGCAGCGTTTGCATTGTGGAACACATGGCTACAGAGATAAGGAGCGACTTAGGCATGACTTTGTCGCTTGTCTGTAGTCTTCTAACACCTTCCTGGGCAGCTTCCATGGAATCAGCCACTGGGATGTCGACCCTCAGTTCAACACTCGATGTAGCCGTTTGGACGGGTCCCCCAAGAAGCAGTCCTATTTTTTGGGGCGGCTTTCGGGCTTTAACTCGTTGAGACTTTGAGATCGCTACCCCGGCTTTCAGTCAATCTCCTTCCGGCCTATCTGTCCGGCAGGACCTGCATGCCGCCCAAGCGTCGCCGAGATCAGAGGCGGGCTCTCTCCAAGATGTGGTCGGGAGGGTTCAACTGCAGGGATGTGAGGCTCAAAATGGCGGATCCGGTGTCACGATGGGCATCAATATGAATCTTCAAACGCTTTGTAGGGTGCTGAGCTTGCCTGGACATATACCCTGGCGGAGGTTTCCTTGCTTGGTCCAATCGGAGCTTAGGCGATAGCTTCTTCCCCTTTAGAATCAAGAGGAACAACATCTGTTCAAGTCCTCAAATCCATCGGCATTTGGCAGGGGGAAGCCTGTCCAACAGTGCCCCTTTTCCCTTTTCCATTTTTCTGTCGCGGGGGTGTTTCCGTCTAAATTCACCAAACAAAAGAAAGGCATACTTTTCTCCGCTGGGGGAAGTACCAGCCACTGGGATGTCGACCCTCAGTTCAACACTCGATGTAGCCGTTTGGACGGGTCCCCCAAGAAGCAGTCCTATTTTTTGGGGCGGCTTTCGGGCTTTAACTCGTTGAGACTTTGAGATCGCTACCCCGGCTTTCAGTCAATCTCCTTCCGGCCTATCCGTTTGTCAGGACCTGCATGCCGCCCAAGCGTCACCGAGATCAGAGGTGGGCTCTCTCCAAGATGTGGTCGGGAGGGTTCAACTGCAGGGATGTGAGGCTCAAAATGGCGGATCCGGTGTCACGATGGGCATCAATATGAATCTTCAAACGCTTTGTAGGGTGCTGAGCTTGCCTGGACATATACCCTGGCGCAGCTTCCCTTGCTTGGTGGTTCGGAGCTTAGGCGATAGCTTCTTCCCCTAGAATCAAGAGGAACAATTGTTCAAGTCCTCAAATCCATTGGCCTTTGGCAGGGGGGAGCCTGTCCAACAGTCTCCCTTTTCCCTTTTCCTTTTGTTTTTTTGCGATGAGTGGTTTCCGCTAAAATCAAGCAGCCGAGGAGGAGCTTGCTTTTTCCCCAGCCACTAGCAACCAACCAGGGATGTGGGCGAGGAGCTTTCCCAGACGGTGGTCTTCTAAAACCCTCCTTGCAGCTTCCGAACGAGCCACCCAGTCCCCAAAGAGCCCTTGATTGTTGAGACGCCTTTTGTGGCTTCGCCTTCTGGGGTCGGTTCTCAAGGGAGCGAAAACCGGGGAGCCCAGTGGGCTGGTTTGACATTTAGGACGGCATAGAGCCGGCGACGGAGGCGGAGCAGGCCGGGGCCCGGGCGGTTTCTGGGGGGCTTAGCGAAATGCAGCACATGGGGTTTCCCTTTAAGCCACGCAGCCCGGTGACTTTGGGGGATTTGCAGGATGGACCCCAGTTGAGTTGTATGGGCATCGCCACCAGGATTGGGCAACGTGCCGGCTTGTTAAACCCATTGCCGGAGCTAACATTGCTTAGCGCTGGAAGGCTTTGCGAAACCCTGGTGCCTCCACTTGCGTGTGATGGCCTGTAGCACGGCCGATACAGATCACCCCCAGTGGTTGCTTGAGAAGATTAGAAAGAAAGCGATCGAGGTCCACTCATATTTTGTTTAGTCATCCCCTGAACTTTGCTTCCCCACAGAAAGGGAGTTGTGTCATGTACCTCCACCCTTGCCGTGTCGGCAAAAGTTGGATCTCCACCTTCTTGGCTTTTGCACCTGCCTGGCAATGACCACTGAGTCGGATCGGTTCCATGTTTAAGAATAGGAATCATGGAAGTGGGGGGGGGGACCCAGTCAATCGGGGAAAAAAAAAACAACAACTTGGGGTGGTTGATTTCAGAAGGGCACCCCCCCTCCGCCCAATTTGCAGGTGCTCAGGGAATGAACCTGGCGGATTTCCTCAAAGGAAGCCACCAGTTGGATGGTTCAAGTAGGGTCAGACTCCATTTCTCATTCCGAACCGATGGACCCCTGTGGGCATGTGGCTGTGGGCCAAAACCGTTGTGGGATCCCATTTTGGGGGTAGGTGAATTCACCACCCATTGTAGCTTCCTATTTTAGTGGGGTACGGGATGTTCACTGGGGTACGATTTGGGTTTTGACCCATGGCCATGAAAGAGGAACGACCAAGCGCTTCAGGCCGCTGCTGCCTGCGGCGTCCTGGCCTCCGTGGCAAAGAGCCTGGGGGTGCCTTGGGCCAGCGCTTTGGGGGGGATGGGGGAGACGAAGCGTCGGGGATGTGCCGAGTGAGTCAGAATCAAAGCCCGGGTAGTTGGAGGGAAGGGACAGTCCCAGCCAGAAATGGGTGCCGCCTTTTCAATTCTGTACATGGTTCTGGGTGGACCTTTTTTGTGCCAGGTTTTGATCATGGCTCAAATGAAGGCGTCCTTTCTTGATGGTACAACCACCAAATGGCTTTGATTTTTCAATGGGGAACCCCTGCAAAAGTGGCTGGTGGACATGAATGCCACCTCAATGGTGTCCACCGACCCCAAGATGCTTTATGACCGCCTCCAAGCGGGCACACCCAGCCGGGCTTGCTATTCTAAAACGGGGTATGGAGCCTCATATCGACTCCGGTCGGACCATGAGCATGATCTTTTTTAATGCTTTCGGTGTACTTAACACGGGATCAATTATCACAAAACGATGTTTGACTTTGTGTTGAATTTAGAAAGAATGCCCAAAAACGGAGGGCTTCCTGTGGGTTCCTGTTGGCGTTGCCTTCGGTTTCCCTTTTGACAGATCCGAGAGGGTGTCAACAAAAACAACACACCTGGATCAGATTCCGAGACCGGCCGTTGTTAGGACACGTGGGGGGAATTGTGGGCTGACGTCTCGGTCAGTCGTTGCGGTTTGAGGGCTACTGTTGGAGGTGGTACACCATCTAAAGGGTCATTTTGGTAATATCATAGTTTATTTGGGCAATTGGGGAGGATGCGGGATGACGCAACTAGGAAGCCCCCCAGCGTTGCTGGCAGTTGCTCCTCCCTAGTTGAGACATACCCAGCTTGGTGTTGTGTGATTCATGGTCTGCTTTGGTTTTGAAGTGGGACACGTGCACCTGGCAAGTACGTTATGTATTGGCTTCCTTGACCAACGTAGGCAGCTTTTGCTTAAGCCCTCAACGAGAAGCAGCCATCAGGGATCCAGCTCGCCCATCACTCCACGGCTTGTCCAGATCGGCGGATTTCCTGCAGATGTGCTCCTTGTAGCTTGTTTCCTTGACTGGGTGGCCGTTTCAACTGTCGGAAACGTGCGGTTTCCCCGTTAAAGTCTGGAAGGTATGCATTCAGGGCAAGAGGACCCCGCCCCTGCCTGCACCCCCCAGACTTGAGCAAGCTTTGGGGTCGTCCTCAGCTTTCGGAGCTTCGGACACCTGCTAATAGGTGACTATGTACGCTTTCCCATGGGCAAACATTTGTAGAACTGCCCTCTGAAGCAGCTGGACGTTTGTTCCAACAGCACTGGCTTTGGTTCATTTGGGGCATTGCCGGAATCGGCCAGGGTTCTGGAACCAGCACGCAACCCCAACATAAAATCGAAACCATGTTGGGGGATACCCAACTTTTCCCTTTTTTACCTTTTTTGTTTTGACACCACCCTTCTTTTTGTTTGGGGGGGGTCCCCCCAGAACGAATCAAGGAACAGCCCCAGACCCCCTGCACGGCGCCTTCGCCTTCGCTGGGTTTTGAGGCGCTGCCCATCGAGGAGCTGCGGAGCGCCTGCAGCGCCCGGGGGCTGACGGCGCGGGGCAGCCGCCAGCAGCTGGTGGGGCGCCTGGCGGCGCTGCTGGCGCCCAGGCGGGTCTCGAGCCGCTCTCGAGTTCGGATGTTCAAATGGCTAGTGAAAAGTTGGGGTAACCCCAAACTGGAACCTGGCAAGTGGAAACATGGACCTGCGGTTTTTGTAGTGGATCAATGTTAGACCCACACCCAAATGGTGGGGGGCCTTTTTGGTTTCCCTAAGCCTTTTATTTTTTCTTCGGCGAGCTACCGGGTAAAACGAGCTCACCATGATAAAGGTCCTGAGGACTTGGGGCATCTTGGGGCTCGCCTTATTTCAGCTTTTGGAAGAGTCAAATATGCAGATAGATGTGGGGTCTTGAAAAATCCATGGTGGGGGTCCTTTTTGGGTTCCCTTCGAAGCCGTCCAAAAAGGGTACTCAAAAATGAGACATCCATGTGTAGATGTGTAATGTGTGCATGCCAGGCTGGCTGGCTGGGCTGGCTGCCTGCCTGCCTGCCTTCCTGCCTGCCTGCCTGCCTTCCTGCCTGCCCGCCTGCCTGCCTGCCTGCCTGTCTGCTTGCCCTGCCCCAGGGTTCTGTCCTGTTTGGATGCAGAGTTCTTCCGATCACTTGCTCACTGTCACCCACTCTCATCAACCCACGCCAGAAATACGGGCCCCCAACTAAGAGACCTTCACCTCCTGGATCGGTGAGCTCCTGTAGAAGTCGCCGCAGACCAGCATGAAGAAAACCAGAGGGCATGGAGAAACTGGCCAAGAAGCCTCGGCAGGCCCGATGTGGAGGCGAGCCAAAGTGAAGAGGCCGCGGGAAGGGGTGGGATTGGGGGGCTTGCCTTTTGGTGAGGCGGCGCAGTTGCACAGGTGAGATTGCCCATTTGACACCCGGATTCCACCGCTTTTGGACAAGTGAGGAGTGAGGGGGATGAGGGAGGGGCAGCGTCGGAAGTTGGGAGATCGCGCTGTTCGTTTTATTTTGTGCCCGATGGGTGAAGCGAATAGGGAACCCCCACATTGCTTTAGTATTGGTTCGATATTGGCTAGTATTGTTTTGCATTGCTTTGCTTGTGTACTATTGTTTGTGGTGAAAATGATGGTGGTGAAGAAGGTGGTGGTGGTGGTGATGGTGGTGGTGGTGGTGGCCATGGCTGTGGCCGTGGCCGTGGCGGCGGAGGTGGCGGCGGCGACGGTGGTGGTGGTGGGGTCTGCGAGGCAGGGTTGAAGAATTATGGGGAGACCCTTTTTCTCGCATGAACACGGTTGTCTATATTGAGTGCCTTTTTTTTTCTGTTGAGGGACACATATTTGTTGGAGCATTTTTCCGTGCTTACCCTTGGATTCATCTGGTACCGACAAACGTGGTGAAACAGAAGAAAGCAATACAACGCAACATACCTGCGACCTACCCCCGCGAAGGGGTGAAGGGCCCATTGCCAGGTGCCTGCCAGCCTGAGCCTATCCTTGTCTGGGCTGCAAGCTGCCTGCCCGGGGGCCTGGAGTGAGTGTCGCTTGGAAGGATCGGATCCGAAAAAGATCCCTCGCACTTGCTTGGTTGCCAACGGATCTGGTGGTTTTGCCTCTGTGGCCCCAAAAAAGGGGCTGGGTCATGCATGACCCAAACCGCCGATGGTGCTCTTACACTTTTTGAACATGTCCCATTGTAAGGAAGATAGGCTTGGAATTCCGACCTGTGCTGGTTCGACGTCTTCAATGCTAACCTTGCATCTTCATGAAGGCAAAGGCCTCTGTGTTTTGGGTGCCAAACAATCCGATCTATCAATTTATATGTCCCACTATCTTTTGGCAGCCGTATCAAGCATGATTTTCCTTGCGGTCAGTATTTGTTTTCCAGTTGGAAGCCTGCAATAGTACTATGTTTTCCCTTTTTTTTTGGGTGATGAAGGTGAGAACCCCGCATCCACGCCTGCAAAATGTCAGCCGGCGAATCCGCCAGGAGCTCTCTTCCCAAGAACTGCCTGCAAAATATCGCCCCCCAAACCCAAAACCCGCGGTTTCCACCCCCACCTTCGGCCGGTGGGACTCCGAGGCCGGGCCTGCGGCCTGCCTGCGGCGGGGGAGCCGGCGGAGCTGGCCGAGCGCCTGGCGATCCACGTGGCCTCGCAGGCGGTTTTTTTTTTTTTTTGTTTTTTGTTTTTTTTGGCGGGGGGTTGGGGGGTTGGGGGGCTTTTGGAGGGGGGGGGGGGGGTTGGGCGGCAGGATGTCATCGGCGCGATTTTTTTTGGGGTTCGCAATCTTTTGTTTGTTGGGGGGGGCAGACGCCATCTTCGGGTTTCCTCGGGTTTCGGGTTTCCTTTTGTTTTTTCCTGAAAAAGCCGGGGTTCTGAAGGGGGGTCCTCAGGGTTCCTTGCGGTTTTGCTGAAAAAAAGAGCACGTAATTGGTGGGGTTCCTTCTGGTTTCTGATGTTGACACACCCCCGGAATTGATGTAAATATTCTCAAATGGCCGTTCACTGCCTTACAGGAACAAAAACTGACTAGGTCTCCCAGTAGTGCCCTTTTATCCTTTTTTGGGGGAGGGTTCCCCCACTAAAGTAGAATACAGAAAAAAGGGCACCCTTATTCTAACCTCACTGGAGAACCTAGCCGGAGAAAACGGGTGTCCGAAGGAACGCCCCTTGGTCAGGAGGAGAACCAGCCCGTGGCGGACTCTGGGGCCGTGGGGTTTGCGCAGGCGGCGGATCCCGCGGACCCCATCGTCAGCTTCTCCAACCCGGCGGCTTCCGAGGCGTCGAACGCCGAGGCGGGGGACGGGCGCGCGACTCCGAGAAAATGACAAAACCGCGAGGTGGTTTCCTGTTGGTTTACTTTTAGCTTGGGTTACCCTTGTGCTCGACCGGTTGCATGGGAACACTCCAAGAAAGACAATGCAAACACCTGCAAGGGAGCATCGGCTTGGTTCTCCCTTCGCTTTCTGCGGTTTTGCTCTAAATCTCCTCGGCTTCCCTTCAGAAATTGTTCTTCTTTTTTTTCCAACGTGAACAACCAACCCTGGGAGGGGACTCCGATGGCGGTGAAGTTTGAGACGGAGAACTTGAGCTGCGCGCAGGCGCACGAGGCGCCGATCGCGGCGTTTGAGGCGAACCCCTCCCCCTGGAGCGTGCCGGCGGCGCAGCCGGACGTCACCCAGGCCAAAAACTGCACCAACTCCATGGCTCCCAGCGGCGGTTTGGTCGCACACGGTTTCCCGGCTCCAGATGCCTCCGGGAGGGCTCCGGAGCGCCTGGACGAGGGCTTCCGCGCGGGCTTGCGGCTGCTGCACACGGAGGAGCTGCGCAGGGCGTGCCTGGAGCGGGGGCTGGACATCGATGGGCACAAGGGCGACCTGCTGAACCGCCTGCTGGCGCACTTCGCGCACGCGCCGCTGCCAACGCCCACCCAGGACCTCAGCCCCCCGAAGCCAGCGGCGCAGCCAGCGGCCACGGCCGGGGCGAAGCCGCCGGCAAGCGCCCCACCGGCGGCGCCGGAGTCGAGGAAGCCGAAGCCGCAAGCGGCGCCTCAGATTGCGCAGCTTTCTCCCGTGGCGTCTGGCCTGGCAAAGGAGGTCGCAGAGCTGCGGCCCTTGCAGCACGCAGTGAAGGAGCTGAAAGCCCCGCAGAATTCCCTGCTGCGCCGGCCCCGGGTGGCGGCTGCCAGTGCTGCACCCAACTTCTCGGCGCTGTGGCAGACCATGTGCAAGAGCACCGCGCGGGAGTCTGCGCGCGAGGCTGCGCGCGAGGGCGCGCCCGAAGGCGCGGGGGGAAGCATCCAGCCTCAAAACCCACGCATCCAATTAAAGCCAAGATGGCTGTTCTTGACTGCTCAATGATGTGTGGACAGTGCTTTTGCCTGGCTCATGCAAACTTGTGATATTGTCTTGAGACTTGCTAATGGTACTAGAAACTTAAAAACTCTGGGCAGGTTCAGTGCCGTCTCCGGGCAACAGTGTGGGAATTCTTACCAGCCTCATTCCATCCATGCTGGTGATTGAGCACTAGGCCAGCACAGCATCGAAAGGAGAGATGGGGGGCTTGCCGATAAAGCCAGATACTCCGATTCTCAAACCACATTGAGTGAATGTCAGCTGCGACCCTCAAGGGCAAGGTCTGGTTGTCACTTATAACCAGACCTTGCCCTTGAGGGTCGCAGCTGACAAGTTATAAGTTGCATCCCACTTGGACTTCCAACCAGTGGGTGGCGTACTTCGCCTCTTCGCCAGGCGGCGGCGTGGGCCTTTCCGTGCGCCCCCCCGGCGCCGGGCCGCGCCGCGGCAAGCCGAAGGCGGCGACGGGGCTCCTCGGAGCGAAGGCGCGCCGAAAGGCGCGGGTGGGCAGTTGCCACGGCCGCACTGCCGCAGGCGCGTGGGAGAAGCGGGATGGGATGGGAGGGATGGGATTGCTTCATTGTTTGCTTTTTGTGTTTTGTTTGTTTGGCTCGGGTTGATTCCTTTCCCTGCGGTTTTGGTGTTTTGTTTTTCTTGGGTTGATTCCTTTTGGTTGTGTGTGTGTGTTGCCCTGGCCTGCCCTGTTTGTTGCTGTTTGTTTGCAAGACCGTATGGTCTTGGGTGTTTGGGCGTGGACATTGGATCCACTTCCGCTTGGGCAGGGAAATGTCGGACGCTGTGTCGACCTTTCCCCGGTGCTTTTCCAGTGTCACCTGGTATCCACCAGGCACTTGGCAGTGGGTGGAATCCTTCCGTCGGGTGGAGTTCTTCACCATCCGACTTCTATTTGTTTGTTACTTCATAACACGCAATGTCAGCAGAACAAGCACAAACCATCAGCAAATTGTCAGTACTTCATGGCAACCCGCCGGCCGAACCGGCGCAGGCGCCGCCTGCCGCAACGCGGGGCGCCAGCGGCCTGCCGGGGCGCGCTTTGTGTACTGCGCCCAGCACGCGGCGCGGTGGCCGCGCTTCGAGACGGTGGGGGTGGATCAACTCAACGCGCCTGGGCCCAGTGGGACCCGTGGGGCTGGGTTGGAGCAGCTACTCTTAGCACCGCTTGTTGGTGTTCTCCCTTGGTTGACTGCCTTCCTTTTAAGGAGCCTTTGCCATACAGGTTAGCCTTTTTTTCCGAGCAAGGGCGCTTTGTGGAACGGGTTCGAAGTCGTGGTTGAGAGCCTGAGCCATGACCAAGGAGAGGCCGCCGATTGCGGCCATTGCGGCCGCGGCCGCGGCGAGTTCTGGCAGCTCAGAGGAAAAGGAAGAGAGGAAGGGGACGACTGGAGTTGGGTTCATGTGCACATTCTTCATCCTGCATGTTTTGATGGTAAATGAAAAGTG